AAACTGGGGGAACAAAGGCATAGTCAGGTGATGATTCTCTGGTGGTTTTTTGATCCCTCCCACATAATAACTTGAGTCATTATTATTCTAAGAAAAATATTGATGAGTGCAGCTTTAAGCATCAATCAGGGGCTTCCAGAGCTTCCAGCAGTCTTGGTTGGACAGCGGCCAAGAAATAACGTCACACGCTGCACGATGTCTTGTGTTTCTGTGGGTGAAGGCTGGCCAGGACAGGCAGATAGATGGACAGCTGCTGAGAACCAGCATCTCACATCACCAGCTCCCCTCCCAGGACATGAGCCCCTCTCTGTCTCATTAGGCCAAACTGGCAGCTGAAGTGAAAGGAAAGGGGGACCACGTACTCAGCCTCCCATGGCAGAAACCTCCCCATCGCTCACAGAAGCTCTCATTACTTCTTCCCCTCCCCTCCGTCCCGCAGCGGCCCTCCTAAAGGCAGCCAGCTCCATCCATCAGATGTATCGATCCTGTCTCCCCCTGGTGTGGTACCTGTCTGTTTTTTAGACTAAGTGGGAAGGATGGCAGAGCTGGCATGATATTTCAGCTTTCCAGTGACAGCCCCGTCCTCCTGGGATGTGCAAGGTGAACCGGAGACTGGGCTTCTTCAAAGAAGTGTTCCTCCATAGATCTAAATGAAAGAGCTCTCCCTGGATGAATTACTAATAATATGTTTTTCCTGCTTGGACATGGGAGTCATAATCAATCTGCTGCTTCCTCGACTGTTCTTATCGCTTGCTGAAAAATACTATACCCCCAGTCCTCTTGATAGTACACACGAGACAGCGGTGCAAACACATCTTTGTTCAAATCAAACCGCACCTCTTGTTTCTGAAAACACTGTTGTAACTGTTGTTTCAGGTTCAGCAGTAATGTTTCACAACAGCATGGGTACTGTGAGTCTTTTTTTTTTTTAACAGAGATTTGATGGTGCGTCAAACAGAGTTTCTCTTGACTTTGATCTTATTACTATGAGGGTTTTTGGGCAGAAAAGCAAGCTTAAGCTTTTAAAGCGATTGCCTGTAAGAAAACCCTTTTAGATCAGTCTGACACTAGCACTTGTTTCACTTCTAACTGGGATTAAATTTATAGGGTGAGACATCATGTTGAAGCATTTGTCTCTTCATCCAAAACTATTTTAGTATGTTTCCTCAGGGTCACTCAGAGTAAACCATGACCAATTTCCTCTCTTGAAGTGTATTTTCTTTATAAAGACAATTTTGCAAGTTTGATTGAGAGAAGCTACACAACAGAAGTAGAAGAACACATAATTGCGATGTCAAGTTTGAATCCCTGCTCGGGGACCTCAGGTTGCATGTCAAAGCTCAAAGCTGACATCGATCAAATGAATTTAAAAATGTCATCAAAAAACAAAACATGAAGACACACAGCACAGTTACAAACAAACAAACAAAAACAGTACACATAGTGAGTTCAGGTTCCCTCCACATGTCCTGCTCTTCACAAAATCTTGATCAGACACCAGAAGTAAAGTACTTGAAGGCCAAATCATTCTTTTCATGTCCACAGGAGTGTGCATGATGTAAATTTCATCATCTGCCCAACTCTGTGAGGATCTTGGCAGACTCCTCTGCAAACATCTTACTGCAATAAATTCTCAGAGAGGAATTCAGCTTTGAAGAAGGGATGTGAATTTGGACGAAAACCGTGTCTGCCAGGTGCCATGGGTTGACGTGGTTAATTCAGCGGAAGAACTGAGTAGATCTTCCTTACTGCATGATTCAGATCTGCATCTGGTTGTTGTTGCTTCAGGTAGCAAAGGGGATTTTGAAAATGTTAATATGCAGCTAGTGTAAGGGAAAGAGAATGCCTTGTGAAATGTGTGGTGGAAATGGCAGGCAGAGTACTGAAATTATAGGTGCAAAAACACTAGAATCAGTCTATGATGTACCACCCACCCTGTATGTGTTTAGATTGTAGGATGCAGCTACTTGAGGTTGGTGAACAACCCAGCCATCTATTATCTATACACCACTTAATCCTCACTAGGGTCGCGGGGGGGCTAGAGCCTATCCCAGCTGACTTAGGGTGAAGGCAGGGGACACCCTGGACAGGTCGCCAGTCTATCACAGGGCTACACTTAGAGACAGACAACCAAGCACACTCACATTCACACCTACGGACAATTTAGAATCATCAGTTAGCCTCAACATGTTTTTGGACTGTGGGAGGAAGCCGGAGAATCCGGAGAGAACATGCAAACTCCACACAGAAAGATCCAGGGTGTCCTAACCAGGACACGAACTTGGGATCTTCTTGCTGCGAGGCGACGGTGCTAACCACCGAACATTTTCTATATCAGTATTTTCTGTTCATGTAAGGATCTGTGTGATACCAGTGGTTATATACAGTTAACAAATTTATTAGACCACTACCCAATGTACGGTCTCTGCCACAGCTGCCCTAAATGAATGGCATTGGTAATTACCAAAATAACTAATTAATAATAAAATTACTTTATGTTTCTGTAATGGTTAATACACCAGTAGAAGCTCTTTAACCAAAATGATATTTTTAATGCTAAAATATAAAATTATTATTGTCATCCATGAATTTTCAAATGTACTGTTTTACAAATAAACAGAAAAAAGATCACCGCACATTATTATTTTTTGATCAAGATGTCATATTATAGTTATTTACTTGCATTCCTGGACAGAAAATTAGTTTTAGTGGTTGAATGTTATGCTTGATTAATTTCTGACTTCTAAGAGTTGCCCAGTGAGGTGGCTCAGATTTGACCAGAAAAGGTGAATTCAGTTTGAAATTCTTCATTCCTTATTCAAATGGCAAAATGTCGAGAGCTGAGTGTGAATTAAAGCACTTCATGATGCTGGATGATCTATATTTATATGCATATAGTGTTTAACAAATTAGACAGGTGGTCTAAAAAAATGGTATATATTGAGGAACCCAGTGCAAAATGGCTATTTTCCACGTTACTGTATTTGTTATGTACTGTTGTTAGTACATATACATTGTATTTAATCAATTGATTATATAACAAAATGAAAAAATATTAAATAAAATTTATATGTAGGGACATCATATATCTATATCTATATCTATATGCACATGCATTTCTCTTGAGTGCAATTCATCCAATCCTTTGATTTCTCATGCAGCCATACGTGATGGGAAAAAAAAGGTCTGTTTCTAAGGAGACTACAGCTCCCTCTGGCACAGTGTTTATAATTGAGTGTGATTTTCAACATCAGGCTCAGACCACAGGAAGAGAATAAGGCAGGATATTTCCTGTTGTCCCTGCTCAGTCTGCTCTGTTTTCCATTTGTGCCTTATTTCTTCACCAGTTTGACAGAGAAATATGCAGATTTGGAGTCGGGAAGACTTGCAATTAAATGATTTAAAATGCTTATTAATTCCACGGGAATTTCCCCCCCTGTTTAATTGCTCCGATGAATTTATTCAACAGTTGAGTAAAGTGCAGAGTGAATTTGAATGAGCTCCTAAAAAAATGGAAAAAAGCGAATTAAAGGCCACTTGCAGACAGCGGTGAGTTCTGTGTCCAGTTTTGCTAGGTACAAAAAAAAAAAAAAAAACACCTCTCAGGAGAGCTAGCTTCCCTGACTCAGTGACCAGAACTGACATGCAGTCGCTCACACAAGACAGAGGTGTCAGTTTCAGAGGAGGATACAGAAAACCTCAGAGGATGTGAAAGGCATGAACACGAGAAAAAAAGCCTCAATTTGCATTCATTAGTGGTGTCTGTGACGCTGGTTGAAGCGATGCAAGAGGAAAATCTGCAACACCATCTATGATTCTCCCCATGGTTCAGAGAGTTTGTACATGTACCTGTCAGACAACATAACAATTCAGCAGGGAGTCCAATAAACAAATCCACATCCCAGAGCCAAATCCCCTGATACAGACACATTCCTAAAATCATTCATTCATTCCTTTTTGGTGAGACAATATTCTTCATTAAACCAGTAAAACATCCAAACAAGGAATGGAACATCACCTGCATTTGCATGTCATTTTCTGATGCTAAATTGACGTCTCTTTTCCTCACCTGTCTTACTTTTAATATTTTCTTCATCACTTTGAGGGCAGGCAGACTTTTTCATGTACGAAGTAATTTGGAAAAACCTTTTGTAATCACAGCATTTGTGCCACACAGGAACTAGAGCTGGGCAGGAGTAGCAACAGAAGATCTGGCTGGATTGTACAGGATAAGTATGGAATTGTTTGAATAATGCAACGCTATAAGAGCATGGCACAATATCCTAGCAACCAAACTGCAGAGATAAAGGGCCTGACGCTGCATGGTGCTTCATTTTACACCAAGAAACATCTCGCCATGCTATATCTGCCTGTTGAAAACCATCTGGGTTTTTTTTTTCTCTGTGGCCATTTCATGAGCGGAGCTGCCACGCGGGGCACAGTATGGTGCTAGCACAGATTCAATTATGAGGTGGGGGTGTTTGGCAGGAAGGTGTGTATGTGCCAGCGTCTGTCTGTACGCTGTCTGAAGCTGATAGATGTGGAGACTTCTGGCCTGGCAAGTGCTTTGCAACCTGGCAGTAATGTGAGAAAGGCCCATTGTGCTGCGGCGGAAAAACCCCGTACGCTCAGCTGTGTTTACAGGCCAGAGTGAGGGACGGCAGATATGCCTGTGTAAATCCCCCAAACGCCCCTTGCTCCAGAAAAGACACGGGGCCGAAATCAGATGGAGACAAAACAACAGCATCCCATTTTTTCCTCCCCATGTCCTCTGTGAGGCTGCCTACCAATTAGCCACAGTGCCGCTGCTGAGGTGAGATAACAATAGAAACCCATGTATCCCCTAAAGACCTCACTAGAAGACCTTTATTACCGTATTGATATCTCCTACATGTCACACTGCCCTCTCTTGCCTGGCAGCATGCCCACACATTTTCTGTGAGGGAAAATCACCAGAGGGGCTGTAACTCAATATGAGAAGAAAACAGCAGGACACGACATTAGGCTGAATGGTACATGCTGTAATTAGTGAGATGCTGTAAGGAATAAATATGAAAACTGATACAGTGGCTTCAAGCTGCACAGTAAATTAAAAAACTGATTAATGAGTGAAAGTACAAATATGTTTTCTGGCAAAAAGTCAAGTGACACCCAGTGAATGTATATTCTCAAATAAAATAAAAACAATCAGTGGCAGGCAGTTGAAAAACAACAACAAAACAGCAGTTGCAAATACTTACTTTATGTGCCCGCTGATATTTTATCCTTCACTATATCCGACATGCACAAAACACAATTTGACTATTGTGGCAGATGAATTTAAAAAATTCAGAGCCCGTCTACATTGCTTTAAGAGATCAAAGAAACAATCTAAATATTGCATTTTTCACACAAAGAAAATAAAGTGTTCAAGTTAGGTCACATTTTGTAGCACCACAAATGTTATTTCATGGACAAAATTACATGGAAGTGAAGTCCAGTCGTACAAAGGAGACATTAAAGTGGCGAGCTGACCTGAAAATTAAGCAAAAGTTTTAGTTTATGTGCAAAACTGTTACCAGTAATAATAATAATAACAATAAAATTACAAAATTAGATTGTCCACTTGGTCAAAATTCAACCACAAGTTTGCTGCTGTTCAGAAAAAGTTGTATTCTTACTTAAAATTTAAACTTATGAGACTCAAACAGTTTGCAAATGGCAACAAAATTGGTTGTGTTTATACAGTACAAATTGAAAAAATATACTTCACCAAATTGCTCAGCAAGATATTAAATCCAAAAACATTTTAATTGAAAAACAATCACCATATCAACTCGTTGGCCAAAGGCACTCGATAGGTTTGAACAACTCCTTAAATTTGCGAGAAAACGTCTCACATGTTGCATTTATATGAAACTTTCCATGTTTCTCCATCTGTAGATGGATGAATGTTACACAGACTTTCTAGGGCTTTGTAGTGGAAACTTCCAGCAGTACCACAGACGCTGGTTGTGAAGCGCTTTGAGTGAGGCTTTACGGTAAATGGATATGGGGTCACTTCTACTGCAAAGCCGAGGTCAGGCTCTCCGAGAGCCCGTCTGTGTGTGAGTGCCCATAAAACACTACAGGCATCCATTTCAAATGTCCCAGCTGTCACTGAAGTACTGGTCCTCCTCCTCCTCTTCTTCTTCTTCTTCCTCAGTCCCATTTTTCATGAGGTCATTCAACTCATTCACTTCCTCCTCCTCTTCCTCCACTTCTTCTTCTTCTTCTTCTTCTTCATCTTCCACCTTGAGCTGTGCCAACATAGTCTGTAAAGTGGATTTCACTTCCTGAACTTCTTTTTCTAAAGACTGTGCAGAATGAATTAAGGAAGAATCTGATGCTACAGACAGACATACATTAGCATGTAAATAAAAAAAGCATGCCAGCGGACAACCATCCGGGCAATCGTGACACTTGTGGCCCCCGATGGTTAATGGTAATAGCAGAGGACAGCCATAACCCGATGAAGTCATCAATCTCCAATTTGGCCACCAAATGGATTACTGGGACAGATCATCAAGTCATACCCAATTTAACCCCATCCAATTCACTATTCATGAGCTCGTCTCAACTGGGAAGCTGGGCGGCAATGTGGGGACCCAAGCAAACAGACTGGCCAGCTAAATTATTCATAAACCATCAATGAAACGGGATAGAGGCTGTCATCAGTAGGGGGATTGTTTAACCTGCTTAGAAACTCAAATTAATCGAGAGTGTCCAGCTTAAGTGGCAAATCAAAGGGATGGCTTTGATGGCAGATGGGGCCTGATGGCTCGTTTTACTGTCTGAATGGACACAGATTGTCCTCATTCATAATTAACCAGCCGTTAAAGAGATTTTTTGAATGCTGCAGAAGGTTCGACAAGCCTTTCAAGGCAACACAGTCCAAAATGGAAGTTCAGAATTATGTTTGAAACCTTTAAAGCCAACTGCAGAGATTGACAGAATTTTGCCTGTTCTTGTCTTTTTTTTTCTTTTTTCCAGTCCCACTCTTTGTGGTTGTCCTGTTATTGAGAGCAGGGACTCAATTAAGACCCTTACAGTCTGCCGGTTTGATCTTCCTGTCACTATGGCAACAGTAGCGCCATCACTGGGTTCAGTTCTTTTACTTTTCAATTTCTGCAAGCCAACAATACCGCCCTGTGCTGTATATTCAGCGTCTTCAAGTGTCTACGCCACTTTTACACGAGTGCAGATACTTCGAGTAGGAGAAATAAATGACACATAAGGACGTGGAGACAAAAAGGTGGAGAGAAGCAGCCACTCTGTGTCTATCTGCGACTGCCAGGCTGCACTGATATCATGCAAACAGCGGAGGAGACGGTGTTGACCCCTGACAGCAGAGCGAGGAACATGAACCTCGAAGAAGATGCAAAAAACAGTCCAGCCACATCTCAACAAAGAGAGAAGAGAGCGTGCTGCGTAACACGCTGCCTTCGCGGACCTCAAAACTAAATAAACCCCCTTCATCACCTTGAACAGATTGCAGGAAGGTATTTTTTGTCAGCTCAAATAAGAGAGATGAGATGTGACAGAAAGTGAATAAATAAATAAATAAATAAAGCTGCAGGTTAGGTGACACATTTTTCTTCATCCCCATGCCGGAATATCGCCTTTTCAATCTGCCTTAATAAGCTCACCATGCAGAGGCGAAAAGTGGAGCGAGAAAAACACACTAATCTATTTCCAATCAGCTTTCTAATTAGCGCAGAAAATGATGTATTGTGACCTGTAATCAGCTTCAACAGTTTGATCTGAGTCATTATCATGGATATTGTAATTTCCTCCGAGCCCGATCCAGCAAGTGGAAGCGGGCAGCTGGAGAAAGGGGAGGGGAGGAGGGCCGAAGGGAGAGGAAGGGAGGGTCAGCAGGAGGATGGGCATTAAGATATGACCCGGGTGGACTCGTTACAGCGAAATTCCTCGATCTGCCGCGGCACTTCCCCCATCAGCCTGCTTTAATCTCAGCGCAGGGTGACTGGCAGTGTGGCCCTCTAATAACCACACCTAGACTTTTTACTATTTCATTTTACCGTTGGCACGTCCAGCCTGTCAAGTAAAATCCTCTGATCCCAGTTCATCTTCAATTCCCTCCCTGAATGGACCCATAACGTCAGATAAGACAAGTTGATTTCTTCGCCCTCGCAAGGCAAAGTCACAGAGAGCAAGCATCAGTCAGCGTGAAGGTAGTTTACTTTTGAGAATTGAAAGGCCTTGTGGAAACTAGGTCCTTCAGATGGATGGACAGAGATACACACACATACAGTATCATTGTGTATATTAGAGAGAACTGGAAGGATATGGGTGAGGGCCTGATCCCGGTTCAGCATGGCCGTCTGCAGTTCATCCTCTAAGGTCATTAGTCTGTCACTGATCAACTCACAGCGCTCTGTCAGGTCTGTAGCCTCGGCCTCGCTGCAGCCATCCTGGGTAAGAAAAGAAAGGAGGATCAACACATAAAGCAGAACGTAGAAACACAGAAGTCTATCTATCAATAACTACAGGCATGCTCGTCTCAATCCTTCAGTGTTAGCAAACATTACTGCAAGCATCTTCAGTGCAACTACACTAATTGTCATATTGTTACTAAGTGCATCAAATTAACCCCTTCTACCTGAGACATCCCTCTCCCAGCACCAGTCTACATCTGCACATGCACTCCAGAGACTGTCTGACTAAAATCGTACGTGACAATTGTTGTGCTTCATTTCAGCTGCATTAGAGTTGGCAGAGCTGCTGCTTTGAAGTTTTAGAGCATCGCTGAGTAATTGCTACAGGGCTCTTATTCACTGTCTAATTTACTGTTGTGTTGAAGCCAAAGTAAAAAAATAAATAAAAAATTCCCAGTTTTTGTTGGAGTTTTTCAAATCAAACTCTGTCTTGGGAATGATGATGATAGGGAGGCCGATTGTGTTTCAAAAGTCTCCCAAGTGTCTCTTATCCACGGAATCCAGAGGTTGTTCATTTTTGGCCTCCACAGTTTTGCAGCTGTTACTGGCTACAGTTGAAGATGTTTTTTTGAGGTAGAAGTTTTCAAAGTAGGTCAGCATTCACATATTGTGCGCATTAACATTAATGTTGAGTACTATTGCCCTCGTAGTATAACACACATTTTGGGCTAGACGTGGACACTTGTGGACTTTACATGCCGAAATTTACGTCAAGCAGATTCTAGTGGACCTTCGCATACTAACGGATTCAGAAGTACAATGCCAACAATGGAGCGGCCATGCTACAAGGGCAGTTTGCTCAGTGGAAAACGCTGGCTACATATCCCATAATGCAACTGGACAGCCTTTTATTTGCCCCTCCCATATGTGAAGATTTCAGGTTTGTGCAGCTCTAACTCCTCATTGTGTTGCCTCCTGATTTGCAAAGCTCCCACCAACGCTACTCTTCAGTCAGATGACATTCTGATGACATATTAAGCCACTTTTAAACAGTTCTTTGAAGCAGCCGCGAGTGTGTCTAAGCCAAAGTACGAGCCTGCCAAAATCTTTATCTGGTAGAGCGCCAAGGTCGTTATCTACACGAGACACGGCAGGTGAGCGGTGTGTACAACATTCGGTGGTATATCTGCAGACCACACGAGAAGACCCTGCAGGGCTGAGGGGATTTTGAAGGATGGAGGGGATGTCGGGCAGAGTGCAGCAGGGCAGAGTGTTCAGAGAGCAAAGCTGGCCATAATTAGAACAGGCCCCTTTGCACACATTGTGTCCCAGTTTCTTCGCACTTATCAAGCATAGAGAACACAAACGCACACCCGAAAACACACAGACGCACCACAAGCAAATAGACACACACGCATGCACGCACACCCAGTGTTCTCCTCAAGCAACACATAGAAAGCCTAATCTGACTCATAGCTGCAGGTAGAAAATATCAACTCCCTGCAGCTCAGAGGTGTCAGAACAATCACTGGAAAGTCGTGTCTCTGGTCTCTGTCCTGGAATAGCTTCTCATTCTCTGGATGATGTAACACCCCCAAAGAAATACACAACAGCAGGCCTGAGGCGCAACAATATGTACAAGTTCGTCCTGATGCAATTAAGGAATTGTGCTCTCAATGCAGAGTATTTAATATTTAAAGAGAACATGTTTTTGTGTTTGAGGAACTTTGACTGAACAAACAATCACTAGAGCGAGTGTCTTCACCTTACGTGATACTGCAATCCTCCTATAACGAAAAGGGAAGACAGCGAACTTACAGATTCACAGAGCTGTTTGTTCATCAAGGTTAGGGGCGTCTTCGGCAGATAAGAGCCCTGTGTTTATGTAGCTGATTGATTCTGTACTTGCCAGCCTGCGGTCTGCTTTTGTAAAGTCAATACAGCTACAGGATAGAAAACAAAAGCTCACTGTGTAGAATGACACTGCCTGACAGTTTGTTAGCAACTTTGGTCACAAAAAACTTGAAAAATGTATTCAGTGGCTGCTACACTGCTCCAAGCGGTGATCAAAACAATACAAACTACTGTCGTTGCTATCTCTGCCTCTGACAAAAAAAAAGAATTTCAATCTCCATAAAACAATCACTGGCATACATGTATTGATGTGTTGATTCCTGTTGCACATTAGTGCTAATGTTATTAGACCAAAAGTAAACAAAGCAGACTGCAGGAGCATGAAGTTAAGCAAATTATTTAGGAATTCAATATTCAAACTCATGTATACACGGGTATGATTATTTAAGCAATAATGAGTGAGAGGCAGCAGGTAATTGTGCGTGTTCCCATGGGTGCTGTTCTGCCTGACACTTTGCACCAGGCGGACAAAACAAAGCAATATTATCGCAGTGATGTTACGCTGAAGGTTATAATTGTTTTTACAGACAACAAAGTGGCTTAATTCATTTTAAATAAGAAATTAACTGGCTTATGATAAACCTGCCTCTCTACTTCCATTGTTTCCCTGTTAGAAAGTTCATCCTTTGTACTCTCCATCATCCATTTTTCCAAGACAAAGATCCTATACAAATATGTGCAGTAAAAGTGTGAGATGTTACACTTCTGAACTGTAGCTAACTCCCAATGCCTCAAACTCATTAAAGGCAGGTTTTGAATTTGTATGATTTTTGAATCAAAAGCCGTTGCACTGAAGTGCTTTCCACTGAAAAAGATTATAATTATGAAATGAACCTTACGGGTTTTCAATATTGGGGTTAAGACTCGACAGTGTTATCTATGATGTGATTTTAACTGAGTAATTTACACATCAGGTATTAAAACCCCACAAAAATAATACAAAATACTACTTTGCCTTACCATAATACATATTACGGCTGAGATCTTACACTGTTTTTTATGTAAAATAACATAGCTAATGCAATAATATAGGTGGAACATATGGTATTATAACCATATTTACATAAACATTAAGACAAGGACACTTACTGCATTAAATCTGACCCTACAAAAACATAAACATAAAACCGACAAATCCAATGACTCCCTGGATCGTGATTGTCAAAGTAAAGAATTAAAAAGTTCAGCAACACTTTCAGCCATCGACTGTATAAAAAAGATGGCTCTTGTTTCCGGGTCTGAAAAGTGAAGTCAATGTAGATGTGCTTTACACTTGCATTCTTTGTAACAGCCAGCAGGGGGCGACTCCTCTGACTTAAAACAAAAAAACAAAAAAAAGCCCAAAACTGATCATACAGAAGTCTATGAAAAGATGATCCTACTTCTCCCCTAATTTGTTACCTCATCTAACATTTCCCTAATGAGTTCATGGTCTCAACTCCCAGTTTCAACTCTCCTTCAATACAGCATGGTGTTAATTTTGTAAGTTATGGTCCTATTTACAGTAAAACAGGTGATAAAACCGGGTATACTTATAGTATGCTACCGTATGACCTCACATGGTGTTCATCTGTCACTTGTCACGTTCAATTTGAAAATGTCAAAATGGCAACAGTTTAATTCTAAAGTTGAGGTTTCTAAACTGTAGTCCAAACACCAGGGATTGTCATCACAGCGTCTATCTTATACATACAGTCTGTGGTTTTGGCTTGTAGCTTTCATCAGGCTCACCACTTATATATCACCTATATGCCACAAGTGTTTCTGGAGGTTTGATTTCTTAAGGTTTTTTTTCCCTTATTTCTAAGCTTTGGACGTATGTGAAGTTGTGCATGACATCATTACAGAGTTGTAAATGTAGACATCCAATTAAATATACTCAAAAATGTAAGTTACAAAAGCTAAATCTGTATACAGTTATAATTATGGTAAAGCATACAACAGTTTGGCCTTTGGACATGAGTTTAACTTTTTAACTGACAATTTAACTTCACAAAAAGAAAGCAAAATGTTTTGTTTTTATCCCCAATGCACTTTTTTTCTAAATATTCCTGGAACTGTCTCACCACCTTTTCCAACTAACTTTAATGTTTTGCTTTTCATTAGGAGACAATGGTGGTCATCAACAGAGCGCACAAAAATCAGCCATTTCATAGTTTGCGTGATGACAGTTTGGAGAGTACATAATTTTGCCACTATTCAGGAGTGAAGTGGAATTTGAATACAGCTTCCGGCTTGTGCACCTCTGTCCAACAATGCCCAATTCTGCACAATTGTTAAATATATCAAGCTTTCTCTAGGCGGCCTTTGATTGGCAATGATATTCCAAAGTTGCAGTTTGACTGACATGTACCTGATCACCTGTTTTTGCAAAGTGGTAAGTCTGATTTCACATTTAGTTACTTCAGACAATAGACCAGATACGAAGATAGCCTACAGTTATTAGGTCATACAGAATAGGAACAGAGTTTGAAAAACAGGCAACTGGTGGTCGGACAGCGACAGCAAATAGAATAAATAAGTATTAAATCTTTCAAAAGTCTTAAATAACATGGATTTCTAGTGAAGTTTAACTGGGATAAGTATCTCTGATTGTCAGGTTGGCTGTTGTCCATAAACATCGTGGGATTTCCAGTCAGTACAAAATGGAAAATTCAATATAGTTGTTGTTTACTGACTACTACAACAACAATATACTGATATAATTAGTATAAAGTGGTGACTGTATACAAGCAGTAAGGAAATGTTGCATAGCAAACAAATCTATTCAAAAACTTTCAACACTCTGATTTAATATTGTCTCCACTCATGTTCGGTAGTGTGGGTCAGTGTGAAGAGGGCAATGTAAGGACCTTGAGAGGATAAAAGAACAATTAGCAGAGATGAGAAGCAAACAGAGTAGCACCAAAACACACACTTGCACATGCACACACACACACACACACCAATCAATCTCCATTGTGGCGGCAGGGCAGCAGCTTGGCAGCAGCTAAGTGGAAATCATTTACTTAAAGTCATTATGGAAAGGAGAAAGAGGTCAGACGCTGTGCGCGAAGCAGAGAATCCAGCTCCTCCACAGCGCTATCGCAACGCCATCAGGAGAAAGATACCTGCACCATTAAACCACCATCATATCCTTTGACTCAGTGATGCATCATACTTTACTGTGATTGAACCATTTGATGTCAGCTAGTTTTTCAATAATCCAATGTGATTTGAAGTTGCACAGTGCACACAGAGAGGCCACCATCCTAGACACCTTTCGAAACAATGGATCCTTGATTTCTTGGCAGGGGAAAAAAAGCAGGTTTTCTCATTACTAGCTGCCATTGTTCAACTTTGCCGGTTAAACTGACGTTGTATTTCAAGCAGATTTTATCATCTAGTTACCTAATTAACATGAGATCAAAGACTTTTCTAATAATGTTGTCTCTGGCATTTTAATGTTTCTATGTGACTCATTATGAAACTTAATCTCATACCTTACAGCAGAGGTTCACAACCTTTTTTCATTTGATGTACCCCCACAGGCCTGTCAGCTGGACTGAAGATCCCCTTGATCATCGCTACCTCTCATTTTCAAATGTGCTCATATGAACTTGTTTTAAATTTGATCTTATTGAACACTTAATGATGCAAAAGTAGATATTGTTCAAATATTTTCCATGTAGCTGAAGTGTCACCCTTACAAAAGCGCAATGTTTGCAGTCGATGTGTGTTATTTTTGGGTAATTTGCAGACAAATACAAAAACAGACACACTGCCTAACTTGCAATCTTAAATGTATTATTACAACGTTTCAGTCCTAGACCTTCATCAGGCAAATAGTAGGTTTGCAGACAAATACAAATTAGTTTGAAAAAGCAGGTTTGCTAATGTTGGCCACCATAATAAACCTCCAGCAATAATCTGCTAATGATGAGAAGTTTGTCACTACTGGCAAACATGTACGCCGGTGGTTTTAAATCACGGCTTGCTCGTAGTTTTAAACTGACTTTCTTGAAACAAGCTTGCCATTAGTGGCAAGCATGTCAATTTATGTTTACCCTAAACAGCATTTCTGGTAGTAAAGATGTTTTTCATTGTTTTCTGGCAGACACTTGCTGGTCGGCGGTTCTCCATGTGTCTGGGTTGGTTTCCTCCCTTAGTTAAAAGACATTCAGACTTGTAGGTTATTTTCTGATTCTAAATGACCAGAGGTGTGAATGTGAGCATGAATGACTGTCTGTCTCTTTATTTTAGCCCCATAATAGACAAATGACCTGTCCTCTCGCCCTCCATTAGCAGACAGAATCCAGGCCTTCTGAAGAATAAACCAGATTTAGGTCATAGATGAAGTTTTGCTCAAAGTTAGCTAGAAGTCCATTGCAAGTTTGTCAATCTGCATATGAAAATATGACCTTGCTGCAAATGTGAAGCCAAATGTAACAGCTATTTATTTATTCATATATTTTAACATCTATCTGTTACTGTCAGCTCTCAAATGTTCCAACAGTTAACCCACACTGTTAGCTAACAACTGCTAGCCAAACCTGTGGCTGTTAGTTTCCAACAGTTTAGTCTGTTTATTAGCTTCATCTAGCAATTTGAACTGTTTATACATTATGGTTGACTAACAGTTAAACTTTACGTTAATAACTTTAACTGTTAGCCAGAAATTTTAGCTAATTGTTTGTCCTTCCAAAAGATTTCAAATGTTAGCCATATTTCGAGGTAGCTACTACAGCCATTTATTCACTTTTTCACCATCAATTATCTATTTTAACTATTTATGTGTTTCTTTTTCTGTTAAAACCCTTTAAGGTCCATTATATTTTTTTATTTAAATTGTAATTTTTGTTTATTCAGATGAGTTAAGCTAGTCTTTCTGTGTTCTCCTGACTACTGCAAAAGTATGTCCAAGGGTGCTGGTACCGCTGGTAAGGAATCAGTGCATTACAGTATATTTTCCTTCAGGGCTACATCTATATGCAGAAATGTAAAACCAATATTAAACATTTGCATGCTACTATCTGTGGGCATAGAATTTACTTGAACATTGGGGAAAACACATTAAGTAGTTGTCTGAGCATCAAACACAAAGTTTTTATGCACTAAGTTGTATCTTTTTTTTTTTTTTTACATCAATTCATGGTGGATATTCACGATGTTTTATTTTTGCAAAAGAAAACAAAATTCAAGAAGCAGTGACATTTCGAAATATAATGGACTATAATGCAGCGAGGCTCTCAGGCGTTCTGCACTGTTTTTAAATATTCATGTTATTTGTACAACTTTTCTCATTTAATATTATCCTTGCCAAGTCAAACAACACGGGGGCTGGATTTACTCTTCTGCCCTATTTTTCGGTCTTTTGTTTGGGGAAGCGGCATCTTTAAATGTGCATGTGGTGCCTTTTTATGTCAATGACAAATTAATTTATATTAATTGATGACATGATACTCACCCTACACTCTAATGGCGTATATGTGTTTCTGCAAGTTTTCTACTGATGAACTTTGTTTACATTCAGAACATATCAGACACATCTGTTTTGATATGCTAAAGAAAAACGTCTGTCTTTGTCGAAGGTATTGTTACGTCTTTAAGTGTTTTCAAAAATAAAAGTTCTTTGCTTCTTTACTGTTTCAACTGGGGGGACATGTTCTAAACATTGAGGGTGAAATATCTCCTGAATCCCATCTAAAACCCACACCTCAGCTATTGCCAGGCGCACACCAGTTTCTTCGGATTTGAAATCCTGCATCGAACGCTCCTTTAACAAGCATAGATACTGTTTGGTTATCTGGTGTGAATAAATGAATGAATATAAAGCAGGGAGGTGCTGAAAGGAGAATACATGCTCAGCAAAACCCTCCACTGGATAAATAAAGGTCTTAAAAAGCATGGTGCTAACTCAGACAGTCTGGGAGCCCAGGCAAGGCTCCTCATGTAGATCAGTATTGATCAGACAGTGAAAAAAGGTGACAGGGGTCGTGTTTAAGTTAAGGTCAGCTAACAGATTCTCCCGCTCCTCCCAGCGTCAACATAACTTTAATTACACTGATGACATTCAACCATGCGGTGACAGAGATAACATTACCAACCTCTGGGTGGTTATCCTCCATGCAGAACAAAAACTCCTCCAGTTTCTGCAACAAAAGGGGGAACATTTGTTGAGGCCACACAGTCCGTCATGAACCTGCTCATGAATTATTGAAAATGCAATTATGTTGGCTGTGTACTGTATGTGTGCAGCATCATAATAATGGGAATAGGTTGTAATTATTCATCACCAAAACTGACAAGAAGAAAATAGATTAACTGGCTCATCTGTACTGCAAGTTTCCTTTGTTAGCATTCAGACTATGTGACTGTACATTCTTCACTAAGGAAGGAGGTAATTACTGTACCTATTGGAGGCTAACATATTGTTTGTGGCTTTAGGGTAAATACATAAGAAGTTTTAATTATAATTTTTTAATTAGAAATCGCCAGGCATCTAACAGCGTTCATTGCGTTTGCTCTCAGGTAAACACAGTTGGCCACCTATACGTCTTCATGCAGCATCTGAACGTTTCAAATGCTGCAATTTTGAGCCACTCACACGGACACATTGGATCGCCACTGCTAGCGCTAATTACAGCTATCTCAAAGTGATATGTAATCTGTCACATGTAGCTTTCTAGGTGAAGATTGCAAAGATAGTCTGGCATCCAACCAAAGAAGCACTCTTCTATTGTGTTTTGCCTTCAGGTGAAAATACTCATGCTGACCAAAGCAGTGGTCAAATGAAAAGACATTGTTGATGTACACCTCCTTGAATATAAGAAAAAGCAAAGGAAAAGCTTTATATATGAAGAATGATATTAAATGGCAGAAATATAATATTAGTAAAAGGCTATTTGCTTCCTCTGGAGCTGCAGAACACAAATTGTCCACTAAATGTGCTGCTACATATTTCTCTTCCGTCACCAGAGGCTTGTCCTAATAAAAAACATGTTCGCTGCTTAGTTGAAAACGGAATGTCTTTTTATTCATGTTGCATTTACAACACTGATCTGTTTTACTCTCTGTCTGTGGATATAAGATAAACTTTCCATTGTATTTCTTTTTGCAAAACTTTTCAGCCATTTCAGAGGAAAAACTCGAAAAATTGAGCAGGTCCCAAATATTTAAGGATTTATGCTGGAATGTAAAAGAAAAAAGTGTCATGGTGCAGCCACATAATAAACTCCAGGGTGAATTCTGCTACACGGTTTCTAGCTCAGAGGACACAAAGAACAGTGCTCACAGGACGGAGACAAAAAAGAGAAATGGTTGGCTGTCTCACCTTTTAGTTCTTGGAGAAATGTTAGGAGGGGCCAGGCTTTAGGAGGAGAAAGAAAAGTAGAGAAAAACAAAGGGAAAGCAGAAAATGGATGCATGCACTTTGTAAAATGCAGTCAGGGCAAGGCAGGGACAGAAGACATCAGTGCAAAGTGTGTATTTATGGATGGATTATACGGAGCAGGTCTGTGAGAGAAGTTAAACAGGTTGCATGAGAAAGGGGAATTAAACATAGCAATGAAAATCCACAAATTCTGCCAACAGCACCAGTTAAGATTGTTGACAATCTTCTGCTTATGCCTGCAATGCAGTAAATTCATAGTGAAACTGGTAAATTGAAGATTCACAGCAAACAATATGGTAAATACCAATCTGTCAGCCAACATAGCAAACTATATTCTCCCCAAAACATGCTAGATGCCTAGAAAGTAATATAAGAAAGAAATATATATATATATATATATATATATATATATTTTTTTTTTTTTTGGCTCTGTTGGCTTTGTTCCTATCTCAGTCGAGTCTGACAGACTACGTGGGTGGAGGAAAGTGTGAGAAGTGGAGAGAGTGAGTCGGACTCGGCCTGAGGCAGTGGACCTCAACTCACTGTGGGATAGACCAGCACAGAGAATTCACACAGCACACACATGCATTCCAAATAAACGCATGTAATCGTGCAGAAACAGACTCTCAGATCTGCACTCTGCAGAATGAAATTCTTCAAGGAAGCCAAAGTGTTTCCAAGTGGTTGCCTCCCTCACGCCCACATTTTCCTCGTTTAGAAATACCTTCGAGCAAACACGCTAATAGACTTCAGCTCATCTAACTGCAGTCCACAGAATATCAGAGTCTCACAATAGCTGAATGTACGAACTGAAAACGTCCTCTCCAGTCAAGTGGTAAGTCTGACAGAGCGGGAAGACTTTATTTGAGGTCACAGAAATGCAAGTAAATCTGAAAACATGCCATTCTTATTTGACCTTTCAGTGGCCTAGATGTGTTATGTTTAGAAAATGTGTAAGAATTCAGTGGTTAAAAGTCTCATAAGGGAATCTTTTATATTCAGGACACTCCAAGTCTAAGGTTTTCTCATGCACTCCAGCGTGTATACATAGAAATTTAGATGAATAATACATTGTGTGTTGTTCACAAGACTTTTCCTGTTACCTTAGTGAACTCTGAGTTCTGTAAGTTGGCCTCGGGACACCAGCGACCCCCTAAAGCAGTCAACATGGCGCAGTCTTCTTCCTCTTTGGTGCATAGCTGGGTCGGAGGATAAACTGCTGCAGGCGGGAGGTCTTCCATATCTGCTCCACTGCAGCTGGGAGTCCGCAGCTGCAAACCTCGCAAAAACAGGTGACATGCTTCCAGGTCAGCTTCCCAGATTCGCTCCAAGCCTGGACAGCCACAGCTAGAGAGAGAAAGAGACGAATGTGTTGCGCACTGTGATACAATAACATAAAATACATTCAATATGAGATCCAATGTGATGTTTTCTATAACCTGATATTCAACATGATATGTGATATGATAAACACTAATAAAACATCTATCCATACTCTACAATGTAATAAAACACAATTCGTTATGATTTTATACAATGTGGCACAATAGTACAATAAACTAGAACTACCCCTCTGTGGTTACATGTTTCCTCCAACGAGTGAGGCTGCGGTTTACAACCTGTCTAGATTCATAATATACTTACACCATAAAAACTCTGAAGTGTCTAAGATTCATTGAGAGAAACAAAAAACAGAATCTTGTATGTGTTTACAGACTTGTTCAATAAAATGGATTCTGCTATAACAATATGTTGTTGCTATGACAGGAAACAATGCTTCAAATGTGAATGGTATTGCAAAGAAGCTACAAATTCTACAACATGGATGCGTCACACGCATCTTTAACCCAGCAGCACAGATGATCTATACAATCACCACAGTTTCAAGGAAAGAATCCAAGATCCAGATGACAAACTCAGCTATCAGCTCAGAGGTTATCATTTATTTCGTATCTTAATACCATTCATAATCAGACACTTGTATGTTTGTTATTTTCATAGACACTGAATGCAAAAAAAATAATTTTCACTTTAAAGCTAATCAATGCTTCCAGCTCAGTGTGTGTGTGTGTGTGTGTGTGTGTGTGTGTGTGTACATGACCGTGTGATCGGTCACGAATAGAGACCTCAGGCCTTTATTAGTAATAGAGCTCCAGTCTGAAGAAGCTCCTATGGCAACATGTAGAATACAGACTAAGTTTCTGATGTTGTCAAGAAGAACTCCCAAGGTTAAACTTGTTGAATCATTAAAAACAAGCCCATGGAAAATGAGTTTCTGTTCACTGTCATACTATAAATAGCGGGAACGCTTGTATTTCTCTTTCAAAGAAAATTCTCCATCAGAGAAACTTGTCTTTCAGAGAAGCACTAAACAAATTCTTCCTCACTCCCACTGCAACAGACAAAATTGCCAAGAAACCTATCAGTGTTTTGTGTTATCGTCAGGATCTGACCAAAACAGAAATAGAATCACAAGTTTCTGTTACTAACGTATGGTGTTGAATAATGACTAGAAAAGGGTTTTGGCAGAATATTATGAAGTCAACCTTTGACCTTTTGGATATAAAATGTCATCCCTTCACTATTTTATCCTTTTAGACATTTGTGTGCAATTTTGGCATCATTTACTATAATTCTTGAGTTATGGACAAAAAGGTTTCTGAGAGGTCACAGTAGACTTTGACTACCAAATTCTATTCATTCCAAATAGACGTTTGAGCCAAATTTGTTCCTAAGATAACGCGATCACAAGAACATGACAGACAAACCAAATACATAATACCTCCGACCATGACCATCACATATGAACATGATAAGTTATGATATGATACCACATTTGCCCGTATGTGTTAATAGATAAAGAGTATATACATATTCTCTATATTATGTATTCAAGAATAGTGACACATTTTGGAAAATATGCTTCAGCATGTTGCAAAAACGTCCTCTGCCTGAGGTTCTAAGCATATAATATGTTGTGAAAGACTGCAGACAGAAAGCACAGGCATCACAGCAACACTAATATCTGCACAACAGGGCTGAAAATACTGAAAACCAACTAAATATACATTATAAGACAGCATGTCTCTCCTGACAGCGCCATGCTAACTGAGGCACCGCAGCTCTACAGGCACAGTAAAGGACATCTTTAATAGGCATCTCTAAAATAAAGCACTGACTGACAGGGCAGGAGTGAATCATTCAGAGATTATAATTCCATTGACAAAATGTAATGAGAGTGAATGTTCTCCTGATAGGCTGCCCTTTTCTTCAAAGAGCTGCAGCAAGAGAGAAAAAGAAGAGCCTGGAAGTGTTCATCTCTGCTGAGGTCACTGAGCAGGAGTTCAGAGGCAGGATGAGAGGAGAGTTTTTTTGTTATCTATTCATTGAGTCACAATCAGTCATCCTCCTTTACGCTTCCTCGCCATGACCCTCGTGGCATTCAAGGTGCAAGTATGAAAACAGAAGAAAACAATGAAAGGAGCTGCAGCTGACTAAATACAATTAGAAAATGAACAATAAGGTCACCGACTCTGTATATTGCGTCATTATTTAAGTTCAACTGTTTAATAAGACATTGTGTTTTACAGACATTTTGTGGTATCTGGTAGTTCATTACAATGATGTTGCCTGTAGGGGAATGGGAGGATTAATGTTGAATTTGAAGATTTTCCCTTTTCTTTTAAACGTAGCTGACTGCAATTTGAGACCTCTGACCTTTAAAATATTCTTATTTGCTTACCTTCTTCTTCCAGTGACCTTTAGATAACAGATTCCCAAATGAGCATGCTCCCAAGTGACATTTTAAGGCCCGAATCCATCGATCTTGTTAGAAAATTTACCTTTCATATATTTTAGACGACACTCAAAAAAATGCATATTAAATAGCACAAACTATTTCAAAGTAAGAAAACATCCTTTCTGTCATTGCTTCACATATCAACTTTATTTCCAGGAATCCATCTTGTGTAGAAACAAACTAAAGCTGACAGGACGCAGGGATAAAAAAGGTTTGGGGATTTATACATATGAGATGTATCAAACATCCTTAAGGAAGAACCGTCCTTCATCTCTCTGTATGTGCCAATTTCTATCCCAGGAGGAGATTCTCTGTCAGAAATATTAATTCTCACGTTGAGTGACTCAGAATGATAAAAACAACAATTTCACACTCTAAGCACAAATATACTTACATATAAGCCTCTATAATATATTCAGTATTTCCACCTAGAGACTGCTTTCCCTGCTGTGCAGTCAGATTTGAAAAATTGCTCTTTCTCCATCATATGTAAACAAACTCAAAGGCAAAACGCACCCAGACAATATTGTTTAATCTCTCCCTCTGTTCCTTCCCCCTTCTCTCTCAGTGATGAGTCCCGCAGAAAATTGAATGCCACTTGTTTTCCAGCCCATCTCCTGCCTGAAAAGGCTGCCAACCTCTGTACCCTGCCAGCGCACGCCTCTCAGCCGCTCTCTAACCTTCATTTGGCAGACAGACAATAGAAAAATTGCTCGGCCCGGCCCCTCCCCTGCCCCTGCCAGTTCTGAATTCTGCAATAGTGGGGACACAGCCAATGAGCCGTGCCATTGTTATTTGTCTCTTCTGAAGTGAAGAGGGACGCGCACACACACAGATATGGGTTAGCACACATGTGTTAACTTACACACACGTGCCCATAAATCATTCTCTGTTGGGCTTCTGTGTTGTACAATCATAAATTCCTCTAAAAATGTCAAAGCTGCCCTCATCTATCACAAAAAGCTTCTCTTCAGCGACAGCCGCAATTCATTACAAATAACTGGCTTTGGCATTAGGGTTCTGTGTACTGAAAATTCGGGCGAGATGTCAGCGCCTAAGCATCCCTGTGATTGTGGCGTCCTGGTGCCCGTCGGTATGAACTGCTCGCCCAGGGGTTAATTGGTGGCAGCCGCTCGGCCTGCCATCTGACGGTGGCAGGGTGTAGGCGTGCTGCGCTGCTGATGGCCCAGTAATAAGAAGGAGAAGCAGGCAGGCACACTCCTTCTACAGTCCTCCCTGTGGGACTGCTGACTGACAGGACTGCTCTTTCTCCTCGAGGCATTACGCACTCAGACACTGAGGACGGATTATAAATACACCGTAACTGTTGAATGGGTTTCACACACTGGTCTGACCAAAACGTCTGAACCAAACCCGACTCATATGTTCGGCTGCATCTCCACGTCTCACACATGAACACCAGACTAGAATAACAGACAGACAAAGCAGCTCCTATCTTCTGCCACCGCTGACGTCTATCTCAGTATATTCTGGGTGAACCTTCTTGCCAAGAAATTACTCACCCGAGTCTCCTCATGTTGAGGATAATCAAAAGCCGTATACAAAATGAGAGTTCACACATTAGAAAGGAAAAGCGACACGGTAATGTTTCACCTTAGCATTACCATCTGAAATAACACCAGCTGTGGAGAGGTGTTAATAATACAGCGAAGTACAAGATGGGGACTATTGGAAGAGGTGTGATAGATGGTGGGTGAAGGTGGGTTTGGCTCGGGGAGGTTTTTACGGCAGCCAGCTAAGCAACTAAGGTGCCTCTGTTTCAAACACATTTCTCTGAGGTGCATTCAACGGTTTGTGCATTAGAAGTGATAATGGAGCGCATTCCTGCTCAGTTTTCTTGCTCAGATGCTCATAGCATGTTTTCAAATTTAACTAAGAGAACCTGTCTGAGCATTTTAATGACACCAGTTGGTTTGTATCCATCACATGGGAAAAATGGAACCCAAAACTGTGCAGAACAATAAATGTAGGACAAACACGAGGAGCATTTGCTAATGAAACATCCGTGAATTGTATGAATCAACCGTATGGTGCTGCTAATCTGAATAAAATGTTTTTTGTTCTGGTGACACACTTACAGCATCTGCGCTGCTCTAACATCCTGTTCTAATCGTTAGCAAGGAAGAGATAATTGGTTTTTTCAACACCATCCGTCTCCACGGAGACCAGACATCTCACCACACTAATCTGCCTCTCTCCTCCCCTCCTACTCCCCTCCCCGCCTCCCATCATCACGGTACTCCATCAACGGTAATGTACATTAGAGCTGACTGATAACATTTACAGTGGATGATGGGTGCATGTGTGTATTTGGTGTGTGTGNGTGTGTGTGTGTGTGTGTGTGTGTGTGTGTGTGTGTGTGTGTGTGTGTGTGTGTGTGTGTGTGTGTGTGTGGTATACGCACATGTGGGGAAAACTGCACATTCAATCAAACCAAATATGTGTCACTGTGCCAAGCAGGGGCTGGTGGAAGCTGCTGGTGCTCGCCAGAAATCAGAGCTGCATTTGTGATTGGAGCTGGACCGCCTCTGGTTACAGAAGATGATCCAAGGTGGGAGAGCCAATCAATTAATACAGAATGTGATGAGCAGGAAAATGAGTCTACAGTCACCCTGGAAGGTGTCCTTCAATATGATTTTTTTTCTTACAGCGGTAATGTAAGATGCATACCATCTAAAGCATATAATCTGTATTCCATGCAATAAAGTATCCGTTAGAGAAACTAAAACAAAGGAGCACAGAGGAGCTCCACTAAAAAAGACAATATAAAACATCCAGTAGTCAGACTGTTTCGAGGCCAAACATTCAATGATGTATTTTTGTTTTATTGGTGTTGGAGGTCTGAGACTAAAACAAGCGGATGTTAAAACAGAAGCAAGCTTTCTGGATTTATAATCCCTAAAGTTTACAGCAGAGGAAAATAAACAAAGATTTTAACATTTAGCATTCTTACATCAAGCTATTTTTGTTATAAATTAAAGGAGCACTCTGCTGATTTATACAACAACTTTTGTTTATTTTTGTTGAGGAGTTAATGCTTTCCAAAATCTGAAAACACTAAATAACCCTGACAATGTCATGGACATGGAGAAGTTATTATCAGAAAGCCTTTATTGCAAACAGAAGGTTACAGAGAGGGAGGGTGTTACAATGATATCATTGATATGTGTTATGGGATTTTTGAGCTCCAGCATTTTCGGATCAGTTTTGACAATTATTTTTTGATTTGACTCTGATTTGACTTTATGGAAATGCAATAGTGAATCACCATATGAGCAATTTTGTTATTATTCACTCAGACCTTTACCTCTGTTCTTCGTTTTCACATTTAACAGTGTTCTAACATTTTGATTTGTACTTTTGTTTCAGTGTTTCTGTTTTGGATGTGCCTTTAGGGGCTTATTAACTGTTACATAAAAATGTAAAAGAATTGTGTTTATAATGCAAGTAAAAAGAAATGTAATATGAAATAAATGATATGATATGAACTCTAGTAGAGGAAGGAAATACCATTCATCCATCCATTATCTATGTACCGCTTAATCCTCACTAGGGTCATGGGGAGCTGGAGCCTATCCCAGCTGACTTAGGGTGAAGGCAGGGGACACCCTGGACAGGTCACCAGTCTATCACAGGGCTACACTTAGAGACAGACAACCAAGTACACTCACATTCACACCTAGCAACAATTTAGAATCACCAATTAACTTCAGCGTGTTTTTGGACTGTTGGAGTTTTGGGACTGTGGAACATGGAGAGAACCTACGATGCACGGGGAGAACATTCAAACTCCACGCAGAAAGATCCCAGTCATCCTAATCAAGACACGAACCAGGGATCTTCTAGCTGCCAGGTGACGGTGCTAATCACAGAGCCGCCTTGCAGCCTAAATGAAATACCATTCTTCCAAAAAACACTCCCTCATTTAATGTTTTGATGACGGTGGTGGAGAGCGCTGTCTCACCTTGGTCCAAAATCTCCAATAGGTGTTCAATCAGGTTAAGATCTGGAAACCATTGAATCACTGAAACCATACAGTGGCCCCTCGTGTCCTATGGATGGGGGCACTGGGGTGAGGTATGAATCATCTGACTATATTATTTTCTTCCACATCTCCGAAAGAGTTTTTGCTCCATTCTCAGATGTACATTCATCTTTGTAATGAGAGGTTCATGCAGCGTGCTCTAATATCCATCTCTATATTTAATAATCAAGGACTGTTCTTACTCTGATCATGTCCTGCATTGCCATTCCAGGTCACCTGAAGAGGAGGCAAAAGTTGTCTCTCTTCAAATGTGTGCTTTGAACCACAACTTCCGACCCTATTTACTGATGTCTTTCCCATAGATCTAAATGCAGATGTCACTTTAGTCACTGTTCCTATTGAAGCCGGTTGAGCCGTCTTCGTGACTATAGCTCCTATCATCTGTGCCCCAACAATGAACCCTCCTTCAAAGTCACTTAGATCTTTTCCTCTTGCCAGCTTAATGCAAAATCAGAATCAGCTGAGACTGCTGAGCCATTTTTATACATGCCACAGAACATGACTGGATGTTAACTGCTTTGTTATACCCTGCAAAGCACCTGTGTGAAAGCATCTATATTTGTTGTGTCTCACCACTGTTTTTTTATTGAGTTTTTCCTTTAATTTGTTACCTGTCTACAAAAATAAATGCTATGACAACAACTGTAAGAAGTCAGAAGTTTTGCCAAGTCATTTTTTTTCATGTTAGATGCATGATACAGACAGGTACTCTCAGAATATCAAACAAGCAAAACACAAAGCCGCCATCTGCCCTATTGACAGAAAGGGTCCACAGGCATGCTTCCCTGCTGGGCACGGAGATCGCAGCCATGTTGCTCTTTGACCATGCAGACCCCCAGTCTGCGCATTCCTCAGTAACAAACAGCCCTGCAGTATGTGACTGATTCCTGGCCCACATCCAAGGGGGTGAAGCTGCATCTCTAAGGATGCAACACAAAGAACTAAACCTGCTCACACACCGCAAACAGAGACAAGGGTCAAACAGACACAAAGGGTCTCTGATAATAAAGGCTTTTCCCAGCTCAAACTAAGCCCATTCTGCCTCACCTTCCTCTTCTGAACACACACAAAAAAAGATAGTGGAAAGTACAGCTCATATGGTGTACACAAAAACATTATTGGCTCTATTTATCCATCTGTAAAACACAAATTGCTCCAAAATGCTGCAGAATAAGAACCAGTCGCATCACAGCTGCTCAGCACTGCCTGTCTGCTGAGGAGATGAGCTAAGCAGCTCTAATCTACATAAAGAAGCATAAGCAGCCGTATGGTGTCAAAAAGTTGACCGGGTTCCACACCCTCTGCTCGAAAATTCAGACACTCAGCTAACCAAATTTTTCAGGTGGGCTGGGCAACCACCCACAACACAACAGGCCTGTCCTCTGTGATTTAGAAGCTCTGAAACAATGACACTCACAGAAAAAGACGTTGCTTTGTCTAAAATGGTTTACACAAAAGAAGGGGGGGAAGGGTGGAAAATGAGCTGATACAGACATCTAGGGGAGAAAAAGGTACAGAAATTGTGTGAGAAGGTGGAAGGAGGAAGACAAATTGTGCAGGTGAGAGACAGACTGAAATGTGAGAAAGGGGCTCTAGGAGACAGCAGCATGGGGGGGAAAAAAGGTGTGAGTGCATGATGTGGTTGGTGAGGTGATGTATTGGGGAGATGGTGCTCTGGTTAGAGGACAACAGAGGTGAGAGGAAATTCCTTGGAGGCCGCTGCTCTGTTTATGTCTCCTCGTTTATTAGTCCTGGGGAACACTGAGTCTTCATGTGTGTATTAAAAAAAAGAGAGAGACAGCACAGAACACAATTACCTGTGCAATCTGTCCTCCAGTAGCTCGACATACTTGGTAGTGTTCTCTTTCAGGCGGCTTTCTGTGTGGAGAGAAAAGCACAAAGAGCGCACCATCCTGTTACTTCACTTTATTTAGTACTTTTATTAGCAATGGTGGGGTATCCTAGCAACAAATCACAGCAATAATATCATTAAAATTGACTTGTCATTAGCTATTTCATACATGGACTCTGTTCACAGTTGGCAATGGCATTGTGCACAGAAAACTGCAACAGTTCAGTTCAATACAGAGGACCAGCTGGCTCTCTCTCTTAAAGCAAACACACAATCGAGGAAAGATCATTCCCTCTGCTCGAAGAAGAGATAAAACTGTAGACGGCCTGAGGATAAAAAGGGGATTGTATCATGGCATAGTTCCTTATATCATGCCAGATTTTCTGTGGGGCATGAAGTTGGATGGATAGCTTATGTTGCTTCCTGTGCCCTTCTGCCAGCAGTGAGCAGTGCCTGAGGAGGCAGACGGAGGCTGGCTGAGCGTTAGTCAGGATGGAGAGGAGGGCAATCTGAGCACCGTTAATGAGCTCATGTATGAAACATGAGAATATGCCCCCCACAGCAGCAGATCCTCCAACACAATGGGATGCACTTATATCAAATTGCAGCGTGTATATATGTGCACAAAAGCTATATCGTTCAATTTAAACCCTCCTCCTCCTCCTCCCTACTGAAATACAGACAGACAAAGCTGCTGGCCTCGGAAATCTGCCCATCCCAGCATCCGCACAACTCAACAACCAGCTAGAGTCAGTTCATTCCCACAATCTGGTGCAGTGATTCCCACCTTTGGGTCAAAATATTGAGTCAGCTAGATACTTTTCTTGCTATTGTTTGCAGAATCCCTGATACTTTTATCCCTTCATGCTTCTAAAAACATTCAGAGATGAAATGAACTTGTCTTTATGCTAAACTGAGCGGAAGAGCTTCACATTTACTTTACAGAAGCATCAAATGTCTCACTTAACTCTTGGCAATGAATGCAAAAAATCAAATTCACATTTACTTTACAGAAGCATCAAATGTCTCAGTTAACTCTTGGCAATGAATGCAAAAAAGCAGAATTCCCCATGAGGTCAAACTATTCCTATAGTCGAGTACATTTCACGATAAAAACCTCAGATGAAGGGTCCCAAGAAGATAGTCCTTCATTTTAAGGAGAGATGAGCCAAAAATAGCAGGAAACTACTCCAGTGTAATGCCACTTAGCCTGATCACAGTGAGCAGAACTCACACAGAGACAAAGTCACCTAATTGGGTGTTCTGAATCACACTGATGTTTGAAATATAATTTGTATCATTGTCTTAATGGTGGTTATTAGACAGCATCAGCTCGGGGATGAGACAGGCTCGGGAGCAGGCACAGCAGGAAGAAAAGGAAAATGTCTCAGTGAAAGTGGCTGTGACACACACACACACACACACACACACACACACACACACACACACACATATCTGTCCGTACTTTGTAAAAGAGCTGCATCACAGATAGTCCAGCTATTTATGGGGGCTGCGTGTGTGTGTGTGTCACAGAAACCGATCTTGCCCGAGTGTCGTTTTCATTCAAAGTGGCCAAATCTGCTCAATCAGAGTTAAGAGGGAGGCCGCTGGAGGAGCTATCACATATCTGATGAGCAGATCTGGTGTACGTGGACCAGACAGCTCACTTACCACCCCTCTAATTGCCATGTGAGATCCTATCCTACCTGACAAAGTCTCCCTTGTCAACTTCCATTCACGCTGGCTCCGTTAAGCAGCGTGCAAGGAGATAGCCACTGAATAATACATGGGGGCATTAAGCCTGACTTTGGATGGCACAGAGCGTGTACAGATGCGAGATGACTAAGTAGGCTACGTCCTGGAACAAGAACCAGATTTAGAAATAATACAGCGTGAGGAATCAGAAACAGTCCACATAAGCGGCAGATGAAGACGGGAGATGCAAACACAAGTGTATTAACCGTTAACTTAATATTTCTCGCTGTGCTAATACTGTTGCACGCAGGGGGAGAGTCAGCGTACCATGCAGTCGCCATGCCAACCGGTGGCACAACTAGCGAGCCTTTTCGGGCGTGACAGATGAAAATAATCTTTTCTTTATAGAACGGGACAAGACATCAAGCAGCACAGCCTCCTCCTGCGCTGAGTGGAACCAGAGCAATGGGTGATATTACCACTTCCTGTAAGTCTGCGGGAGGCTGCTGTCATTGGCAGGCCATGCGAATAAAATCGGCACTAAAAAGCCCATAAAGAAGACAGCCAGTCCCTTGCTCCCCGATACATGCGGCAGTATATTTGGTGTTGAAGGAACTTCACAAAGGCGTCCACAGAGCCTGCACTGAAAATTCATGAGCTCAGCCTCCCCTCACACCAGTGATCTCAGCAGGCGTTAAACATCACTGATTGCTGCCAAGGACCCTGGCCAAAATCGAAGAGGCCATTCATTCATAATACAAACAGAACTGAGACACTATTGAAAGATGAAAAGAATGGGCGTTGCAAAGAGGCCGTTTGCTTCACATAGGTTAAAATATTAATCCATTCATCTTGTGAAGAAAAAATTACTCCTGTTAAATAGATAAAGTTGATTAAAATATGATAAATCTAATGATTAAAATCAGCAGTGTAGACAGACAAGGCAAATAAAGCAGACGAATCACACAACTAATGCACAGTGCCCAATGATGAAGTTCTGGCCTTTAATGAGCCTGCAGAAGTTAAACGATGGCAAGGTGTTTAGATTTCTAAATTATGAGCGTTTGAACAGCTCTCTAATTGAAAGTGAATAATGCGGTAATTTCTTCAATGCCTTGTAACAATAAAAAGCAGCCAACATCTGTGAGGCCTTCGTGTTGTCAAACAAATTAGAGGCGGCTCCGTGCAAACACAGCGCCAGCGTTATGCGTGTTATGAGGGCCGCGCATAATAAGGCAGAAGAGAAATTGTGTGTCTTTGTAATTGAGTTGAAGGCACCGACTGTGATTAATGTGTTTAAGCTCGGCTTGGGCTGCTCGAGTGCGACATCACTGCAGGTAACACAAACACACAGTCAGCAGACGCCCACAATGTATGAATGTATCCAAACGGAGCTAATGGAGGGACAGGCTGATATCAGACAGACACTCAATAACCCATGATGCTCTCACTATAGGATCACAAAGCATAGCTGTACACAGATTGCAGCTGCCACTGTATCACATATTGTGGGGTTATGCACAAATACACAACAAAAGGAATCATTTGACCAAAAAAAAAAACTGCCTGTGTATACAAAATCCGTGCTTGGGTTGATGTATATCTCATTTCTAGGTGCTGAATCACTCGGCTGAAATCTTAAGACACGCTCACTGTCATTATAACTGGAATTGAGCTCAGTAAACAGAGTTTGCTTAGAAGAAACTTTAAACTTTAAATCCACTGCTGCAGGCTGGAAAACAACATTTTCTCTGAGAACTGAATATGGAAAGCACTAAGAGGGCCAACAAAGAGGAACTCTCCCAAAATAAGCTGTCATAAAAACTGTAACACTTCACCTGCTCACAAACTGGCTCCAATGAATGTCTTATTTTTTCCTTGGCTTCTTTTGGGAACTCCAGGTTAATACGTTTTCCACAAAAATGCATTTCTGAATTTGCCACTGTCACCTTCAACAGAAGAATTTTGCCTAAACCGGACTAAAAGCCTATAGCCATCGGCTCTGTGAGGCTGTAATTAAACTTGGTTTAACCCTCTGAACCCCAAGCAGTCTCTGGGCATTTTTTGTTCCTGTGACATTTCTATTTGCTGTGGGCTCATAGTTATAATGCCATAAATCATGCATAGGAAACAAAATAAACCTCTACCGCTACTGTGCACATCAACTCTAGGAAGATATTTCACCATGCTGACTGTATCTTTCAACAACTTGTTGACAAATTGCTCCTCCGAGTGCTGCTTTTGAGCCGCGCTGTAATTGTATTGCTCAGATATGTTGTATTTTGGTCTCAGCTTCTCAAAATGTTTCCATATTTGGCTTCTGTCTGCTCTATGTAAACACAGCCTGCAGTTCAACATAGCCCCCGATCTTAGTCATGTTACTGTTGTTCGCAGCAGAGTAAATCAAAGAGTTGTGCCAAGAAGCATGCAATGTTTATCTTTTAAATGAAATATCACCATTCACGTTTAGATTTGGTTAATTTTCCCAACGGAACCAGAGGCCACACATAATTAGTCGTAAAGAAAGATGAAAATTTGACCACTCTTTGTGTTTTTAGAGTTTCTGGCACTGACAAATGATGTTATGTTGGTGTCTGTTTGAAGATAACCTGCCATTCAAACCCACCAACATATTTGAAGTTCAGAAGGTTAATCTGGTTTATTGAATTGAATGCAAACGTCAATATTTTCACAATGACAAAGCCACAACTTGATGTTAGCAGTATGAGCTATAGTTTGTTATGTTCAGAACCCTTGTGGAGTGATTTTGTTTAGTTGCTAATTAGCACAAATTAAAACAATGTACTGCTCAGGACAATGGGAATATCATTTTTGGGAATATGTGGTCATAAACCTAAGTATTACAAAACCATTGATGGAAAGTCAGTTGGCATTTCATCGTGCACCAGTGTGGTGGACTGACAGACAGACATTTCTATCCACAGAGTTACTCGCTAACATGGAGGAAAACAAACAGCTGTGAAACATTTTGAGCTTCCCTTTGTTTGCAGTGCAGAAGTGATATAACCAAGACAATGAAACTACATTCTGAGTGGTACTGATTTGAAGAAAAGAAACTGATTGATGCAGCCCGACTGTAGTGGTACCTCAATCAACTTCCCTTTGTTTTCGCAGTAGTTCATGATACTCCTGACAAATGGATGGAACCACATCCTCTAGTGAACCACAGGAAAAATGAACGTAGCCAAAACTTCAGAGACAGAAACCAGAAAATATTCTCCCTGGTCCACTTAACCGACGCGCTGCTCTCAATCATTCAGATGCTCTTTAGGAGAAGAGCTGTCATACGTTCCATCATGTTCTCAACAGAAGCACCCTGAAAGAGGCAGAGTCATGAATAAATCATTTATGTCCTCGCCTTCACTATTGGCACTCCGGTCAAAGGAAATTGCATTTGTTTAATACCACAGAGTGACAGTTTTCTGATGTGCACTTCAGGCACTGGACTAGTGCGACACTGCTGGCCTGAACAGTCTCCAGAATCCTGCAAAAGGAATGGGAGCTGTATGAAGACAGAATAGATGGTGGAGGTCCAGCGAAACATGAGGAAAACATTAACTGAATGTGTTCGAGTGGAGTCATGTGAAGCAGAAAACCTGCCATCTTCATTACAGGTAACCAAATTACCTGGCTGCTACAGAATATACCGCCAGCATACTAACAATAGCATTAAATAAGCATCACCAGGGTGCTTGGATAAATCAAGAGGGATGCACGCTGATGCTGCCTCCGCATTCGAATGTCCTCACTCCTGGGGGCCATTTACTCATCTTATTCAGCTCTTCAATTATTTATTTGTAAATTTAGTATCGCTCGAGATCTCTCTTGGGGACAAAATTATACTCACAGCAGGGAATCAAACCTCCGGCTATAATGGGTTTGGTATTCATCAGCACTCGCGCCAATGGCAATTAGGGACATAATGGCTCCCGGGCCAAAAAGCTCCCACACCACAAAGTACTCAGGGCGGAGATGTTCAACAAGCTGGAGCCACGTAGTTTAACTGAATGTATGTGCTTAGATTGTGTCATTGAACTACATATATGCTGCTTCAGAGCTTATGACAATAAGCCTCTTCGAGAACAGACACACAGCTTTGTTGTTATAAGATGACATTAGTATGACAAGTGTTTGCTACGAATGCCTCAAAAACCAAAAGGATGGCCATCTTGACTTGAATTAGAAAGTAAATTCCAATCCCCTCCAGCTAAAGAAGTGGTAATGTGCTGTTTGTGGGCTATCAGTTTCCAGCTAGTGTGTGCCAGCCCCTTATTACCAAATAGGATGACAGTTTAATGAGCCCCTTGCTCGGTGTCAGCAACACATTGTGAAATTGCGCCTGCTGCCATATTGTGTGTGCCCACTTGAGCATTTGAGCAAGCCGCACAACCAATCATTAACTTGTCGTCTTCTTTGTGACGCGTTACCCACCTGACTCCTGTTCCTTTGTCTGGCCGCAGCATTTGCATGTCGCCGTTTTTCCCAGCCTCCGTGTCCCTGAGAGCTGCATTATTCTATATGTTCAAGCTATGCAGGTGAATTTTAACCAGCGTTTTGTGCTTGTCATAGAAGAGATGAATATTATTTCCGGCGGTTTAGCAAGCCAAAGCATGGAAGGACTGTGTTTCAGCAACAAAAATCCAGGCAGGTGACTGAGGTTTATGCCCACAGGTGAAAGGGAACAAAACATGAATACTTTGAGGTGAAAACAGCTGGTTTGTAGATAAAATACTGTAAAATTATAGACCCTGCAAGAACAAAAATACAAAGTCCATGCATTGCCAGACCATAAAACTCTACAGCCTGAACAATGAATTGCAACAATAAAAGGGTGCCCCCTAGTGACAGCAAAGAGTGCTTTCACGACAAGACAATGGCACTCGTGGTGACACTGCAGCCACAAACCTTAATGATCTAGATAACAGCGTGTTTGATGGCTGGTTGCACACGTTGGTGTTGTGGCAGGAGCCTGATCCAGAGCTCCGGTCTCTAGTCCTTCACTACCTGCTCCATCCCCGTCACTTCCCCATTCCTCATCCCGCCCCGTGTTCCCATCTCAGCGCCTCAGAGAGGGAAGTGACCTTTTATAGAAATCTCCCTGTGACTGATGGACTAGAGAGAGCAGCACCGCAGGTGGTGCCGTCAAAATCCATTTAGATCTCTGCCAGCGCCAGTACGCCAAATCAATCTAGCGCCTTCCCCCCAAAAAGCAAGACCCTTCTTTAGGCAGCATTCAGATCTAGTTGGAGAGAGTGCGAGCGCTGAGACATCATGTGTGCACCGCGTGGCTTGGATGGAACTGGCTACTTCACACAATCTAAAGCTCATTTCCCCTGCACCCCCTACTCACCAACACCCCTCCTCTTAACAACTGCCAATCCTGCTGGTAACCCATTTGAAGCCGAGTCCCCACTGACAGCAGATCACTTCTCCTTCATTTGGGAGAGAAGTCATTGTTCACTGATGTCCTCACAGTGTGAGGCAACATCAAGAGAGGACTTGTTTGCAGAGAGCTCTCATGATTCACATTTGAATTGGTATTTAAAAGGAATATTCAAAGAAAAAGAAAGGAACCTTTCAAATATACAACAAACGTTTCCTTGTCTCAGTGGGCAGCTGGAAAAATGCAGCAGCGCTCTTTCAGGTAATGGTGCATTTATTCATATTCATATTTTAAAATGGTTATTCAGAGCTCCGATAATCAATCTTTTTATATTAACAATGGAACAAGCGACTAACTGTAGCATAAAAGGGGTCCCACAGAGATTTATTACACGACTCAGTTGCCGTTCTCTGCATTTTTCTCCCACACCATTTTAGCATCTTTCAGATCATTGTTTTTACTTTGCAGCTTAACCTTACAGGTTTGATGCATAAATCATCAAGGTTGTTTCCAGACGCAGCAGACAAAAGACAGCATTGAAAGATCCACACAAATGTAGCTGTAATGGGCCAGAAACACAACAAATGAATGATATGGGGAGATATCAGCTAAAGTGATGCACATGTCTGTTTTCCATTCTCTATCATAAATAAACACAAAACAACAACATAAAGGCAATGATTAGAGTAGCTTTAAATAAATCTTAACATTGAATTGAATAAATGCACCATTATCTTAAAGAACACAGCTGCAAGTAGTTCTGGACACCAGTTTCATTTACTTCAACTTTGTATCGGAGTAATTCTGACATGGTAGATGGGTCTAAATACTGCAAAATTGATGAGATTTGGCTGCCATTGCCTTAGAAAAGAGGTCAGTGAGCGACATGAAACAGACCGGTATCAAATTAAAAATTCTTCACTGCTGCAGTTAAGAGCAAAACACAGCTCCACAGTTGTGATCTGATATAAGCTGCAGCGTGTTTCCAATTTTATCAGTCGAATAAGTTCCAACTTCAAGAGAGCATGTAACGACATCCTGAGCTCAGTGTCAGGATGTTTCTTGCACATTTGTACTTTGGGAATCACAGTTCACATCTGCCTCCATTTTTTTTTGTGAACACAGGTATGCACTTTCACATTTTAATCAACAAAATAGCTATTTTTTAGCATCTTTCATTTTTATGGGAAAATTAATGGGAAGTTTTACTTCTGGAATCAGGGGTTCTCAAAATAGCCAACTTTGCTACTTTAATCCTTCATAAAACCACAAAATGTAATGGTTTACACTTCACTTTCAGTATGGGTTAAATAAGCAAGACATAAAGTGTTGATTTCTGAGCTTTACAGGTGCTGGTGTGAAGATTTTGTTATCTTTGGAAAGACCAAGGCTGGCTGTTTCACTGACTTACAGTCTCTGTGTTAAACTAAACTAATTGGCTGCGAATGGTAACTTCATAGAAGGGTACTGATCTCATCAAATCAGAAAGTGCATTCCCAAAATGTCAAACTGTTTCTTTACATATGTAGAACTACAGACGTCTGTAAAGGGTTTGATAGCCAACAGTGATGAGTTTTTATTACAGTGATGAAGATGATTGGTTGCTTTCAGTTGTGTTGTATACTCTGCAATAGAGCAGTGACTCACCATGCTGGGCCTCCCTCTGCTCCAGCTCCTGCCTGAGCTGCTGCCGCTGCTCCTTCATCCTGGCCAGCTCCTGGCTGCTGCCCGAGCTGAGGCTGTGCAGCCTCTTGGCCAGAGCCTCGAGCCGGTCGCGCTCCAGGTACACCGCCTTCATCTCAGCTTTTAGCTCCTTGGCACTGCTGAAGTCATTACCTGCACCGGCGCACCACAGGAGGACATTACGCTTACACCGGCCATTAACGAGCGTCTTGATCATTAATGGCGTAATTAAGTGAGGCTAATGGTGGGCGATTCAAGTAAATGAGGTAAATAAAAGATGTGTGATGTAGTACGGATGTACTGGGGTGGGGCTGAGTGGAAAGTTACCTGAGATGGCTGCCAGTTTGGCTTCATGCAGTGCCAAAAGCTGCGTTTCAGTCTCGCTGACTTTCCTCCTCAGGCTGCTGCCCAGCCTCTGACTCATGACCACCTGGGGAAAAGAGGGAGGAGAGGATGTAGAGGAGAGAGAGCGGGGGGAGGGTGGTAACTAACAAAACCTTTGCAGACACATGGATCCCACAGGACGCATAGCTCATTTCCAATTCCGCTTTCATTTTCTTTTTGACACTCATTCTTACAAGACCTTACAGATTCATTTCCGTCCTTCTGCGCTTGCCCTGCTTTGAATACACAGCAGAGCATCAACGCTGATGTGTTACCTTGTCTATAACCTTTAGAAAGGCAAGAGAGTGCTTCTCCTTTCACATAGACAGACAGGAAAATGTGAAATCTCCATAAAAGATATCATTAGAAGGTCAGAGAGGAAAAAAGGCCTTGAATGTCACTGCGTGATGGGGACGCAGTACCTCAGCTGCAGAATTCGCAGAGGAGTTGATGGCTTCAGATTCAGCCTGTCTGGCCTCCATCTGCCCTCACTCTGTCCTTTAAACCTCTGTTCTTTCCAGTGTACACACTTTGAACTACAGCTAGATACAATCCCCATGATGCACTTCCTTCTTTTGAGGAACTATTTTCACTGCTCAAAGGGATGTGGAGCCGGATTTTCTGACGCATTTGCTCCTTGAATCTGACACACTTTTGTGCAACACTTTGAAAGGATTGTCAAATAGGTGGGTATTTCTGAGGCAGAACATCTCCAGGGAGTTTTCTTCCCACGGAAATACAGAAAACAGTTTTTTTTTTTTTGGGGGGGGGGGTTATTCAAAGAGGCTTGGATAATTTTATTTCATGCATTACATGAACTGGAAACAGCTCGGGAGTGCTTTTCAAACTGTAGAAATTCTACCATTGGAAATTTAATTTCAAAACATCAGGCTATTTGTCAATTTCAGAAAAGTCAATGGAGAACGAGAAAGTTACTTTCATGCCAGCAATCATTTTGTCACAGCAGGCGTGTCATTTTCCACATGGTGGATATCTCATTTAGGAACCAAACTTTTCATTTTACCTCAACAATGGACAATCTTGTGATTGTGGGAAAAGTGTCTGTTGGTGGAAAGCCACTATATTCCTTTGAGGTGCATCGGTTGGTACATCAACCAATCATTTGATGATGGCTTTCTAAAGGACACAATGACAGTAAAAAAGGGCCCTGTCCCCCTGCTGTGCTTCTCTTGCTATCCTTATACTCCCACTTTCTTACAGATTTCCACTGCTTCTTCCTTTCTCCAGCTGCAGAGATCTCTGTATAGATCAGTTTGAAGGAAAAGCAAGCCCCTGAGAAGCAGGAGGGGATTCCAGAGACAACTCATACAAAGGAAAGCATGTAAAATTATTTACACACACAGGAATACCAACACAGAAAACCCTTATTAACTTTACTTGTTCAGCTGCTCATCAGAGAAGCAGAAAAACAGACAACTGTATTTTGTATTTTGTTTTTTTTTAACCATCACTGTATTGTTTTACAGCGGATTTTGAATTTAGGGAAAATCTATTCAAAATGGCATCTCCTGCTGCTTCTGACTTTTGTGGAGAGTTCACTGCCTTGTCAAATAGAAATAAGCACATGAATACAGACACTGACATTTAGTATGCATATTGAACACGCTGAAGCTGGCACACAGCACTTTCTGTCTGTTTTGACTTGCAGCTCATTAGATATTCATACACATTCAGTCATTGTTGGCGTGCTGAGGGGAGGCTGAGCTGCTATGGAATAAATCGGGTCAGAGGAACAGTGGCTTACTTTAGCTGTAGCTTCCTTGATGGACAGATTCAATGCCTGCTCCTGCTCCTGGAGTCTGCAAAACAGAAATAAAAATGTCACAGAGCTGCACTGAATTTTTTTTTTCTTCGGGAACTTTAGGGGAAATCAACAGATGTCAATAAAAAAAAAAAGATACTACTTTATTGTGGCATCTACTCATCTTAATGACAGAACAATTTGCTAAGTATCAAGAGAGTTACTGAGTCTTATGTAATGGATGGATGGATATAGAAGAGGAGGTACTAATTATTCACTCTGTAATAATGTCGCCATTTGGAAGCACTGAGACGTCTGGCTTATTTGTGATTCTCCAGTACCTGCTCAAGTTTACATGCTTAGATCTTTAAAGTCCCTCTCAGGTTGTTGATTTAACCCACAAAAATGTATGTCTATCTATTAAAGTTACATATTTAGAAGTTTTCTTTCTCCATGAAAATCATCCCTTCCTGTTTTAAGCTGACTTAAATGTATCACTACACTGTTATTTACTCTAGAATATGTTGGTCTATGAGGTCCCTCCATCTATCTGCACCCAAACCTCCCCATTCGCTGCAGCTCATGCACACCCGCTCACCTAAATCTCTGCTCAAACACTTTAAAAGTTCTGTACGCTACACAACGCACAATGACAGGAGTATTGGAGTGATTTATCAATACATGTTTGAACTAGATCAATTCAGAAGAATAATAATGATACAGAAAGCACCACTCTGCATGGCAAATACAAAAAATACACCACAATAAACTGGAGATGGTCTTATAGGTAATAGACTTAAGTCTGCCTTTTTTTGATTTCTTAATGCAAAATAACATATATGGAACTGAGCTACTACACTTCACAAAACCTCCTTTGTAAAATCATTTGCTGCTTGAGTCGATTAAATAAAAATCAAGGAAAAACTGAGCTTGAAAGTAGTTTGTGAGATGATCTGTTTCATCTTCAATCTGTCATAGCAAAATGAAATGATCTGAAGTAGCTTCCATGGCACTAACAGAAAATATAGATGAGTAGATGTGTCTCCATTGACTTGCCAATGAGATTAAACTGTCTAGATGAATATTTCAAATGTTAGGGATGAATATCATATCACTAATGTTATTACTGTACATGTGCACAAACAAGACAAACCATTAAGGTCACATCATTTGATGGCAGAGATATAAATCAATTAGAAGATGGAAAAAGGGACATAAAATCCATTATGCACAACACAGTCACCTTGAGACGGTCCCAATCGTCTCATATCATAAAAATCAGTACGCCCTTTGCATGTTATTCAAGCTGAATGAGTCAGAGTTAAACGTCTCTGAACACTGGAGTTACAGCACCCTGTTATTTTAGGGATGCAGCTGCTGTGGATAAAGTGGATTTCTTTCATTCAGTTCCCATAAGGAAAAAGCGCCTTGATATGAGAAAGAAACGTCCTGTGTTATTTGGAAAGGGAACTGCAACACAATCATCACGATGACCCAAACCGCGCCAACCAGAAATGTGCAGCTGAATATCCAATCTGAGGTCGCAATTTCAATCAGCAGCCGGAATAAAAGCGTTCCAGTTGGGGTGACAATATGTCAGATATCAAATTATGCCAGTGATGGTGGGTCACACCACCACGAAGGCGATAAGTACAATTTACATGTCTTTCTAACGAGTGGCAAGACTGAGAGGCTTTCCACGGTGCTCCCTTGAAAGCTATTAACTTCAGAGGATATGATGCAAAGTAATCATTAGCATCTCAGAAAAACCATTAAAATTCAAAGCAGGTTCAAGCAGGTGTGAGAGAAGAGGATTGAGGGCACGGGGGATGCAAGGAATCAAGAAAAAGTAGTTGTGACGGCTTGATGCGTCCTCTCTGAACCTGAAAATAAACAAATCACTCCTTCAAGTCTTACAGATTATTGAATCGTTCATGTGTCAGGGGCTTTTGTTTATAAAGACCTACAATGAGTACATTCAGCCTCAATAGAAACAAGACTTAGATGTCACCAAAAACTGCATCAATCAAGCAACAAAGTGAGCAACTTTAGCAGTTCAGCTGAGAGAACATTGTGCATCCAGAGCATGATGTGATTGGTCCTCTGGGCTGGTATTTGAGATGGTAATTTAACTGAAATGTGATGCTGTGATTTTGACTCATACTTTCTTGGCACCAGACAAGACAATCGTGCGGTATGATTTACTAAAACTGCCGCTCTGTCAGAGGACGCGTAAAGCTGGGAGGCAAAGATTTAGTGAAACAGAAGAACCTCACTTAAACATCCTACTCAAAATAGGCTAATTCAGTAGTTAAGCGAGCGCATAACATGAAAAAAGAAAAGCATTCATGAACTCATGCTTGTTCTGGTGTCACTCTTATTCATGGCTCTTTAGCAGCCCCACCTGGTCACTGTAGGTACTGCAGATGCTCTTACAGTTATACATGACATGAAATAAAACGAATTCTGATGTGAATTTGGTTTGTTAACCACTTGTTTTGTGTTTAGTAAACACACCAGACTTTATTAAAATGTTGTCCACATATAGGCCAATGGAGTTATTATTTAAATACAGTGTAAAATTATAATCAGTGTAATGGTGGTGGCTAATTTCACCCAAATAAATACAGTGTTTTCTAATACAGTAATAACAATGGCAAACTGACATCTAATATGTCTCTCTGTCATAATAAACTCACAACTTTCTGGATGAAAACTGTAAGCATCCCTCAAATGTGACTTGTGCTACCAGTCTGTTGAATTGATGTTCTTTAAATTCCAACAGAATTGGTCTTTAATATGACATTCCTGCTGTAAGAAATGGAAATTACCATATGGTAAGCAAACTTAATGTTGATGCAATGGCTGGTATGGAGGTGTCAGTGGTATTCCTCAGTATAAGTAAGAGTCAGTGATTGTCTTGTTCATGCCTGGTCTAAAATGTGAGCTCATATTGAAGGTTTTGTATATAAATGTCAGCATCATTTTCACAGTGCACCACTTTCACTGCACCAGTGCAGTGGTTAGCATTGTCGCCTAAACACTAGGTTCTGGTTTTGAAGCTACTAGGCTGTATGTAGAATTTGCATGTTCTTCCTGTGCCTGTGTGGGTTTTCTCCAGCTTCTTCCCTGCCATACATGTCACTGGATCAATTCTAAAATCACGATTCATTATTCTAAATTGTCTGCAGAGTGTGAGCATGTATAGTTGTCTGTCCCTTTGTGTTAGCCCTGTAATGGACTGGTGACCTCCAGTTGATGAGTGTTAGATGTTCAGACGAGTCGAACGCTCAACAGGAAAACACATTGCTCGAACGTGTAAAATACGAATATATAAGGTGTGAATCTTTTCTTCGCAACTCTCCAGGGTGTCATTTCCATGCTTCACATATATCTGCATGTTTTCTCAACTGTGCTGGACAGCAGAATCGCAGAAGCTTCCTGAACAACAAAAGCCAATAATATGTCCAAAGATCTGCAGTGACGGTTTTGGTTTCCTGATTTGGAGTTGGTTTTACTGGTGCTTTTTGTGGAGCCTAATATTTGATTAATAATGAGGAAAAACAGCCTCATTTAAAACTAAAAATGTCTGCAATCACTCTACAAAATATGTTCACAGGGAAAGCTTTGGTATGAACCTTTATATCTTTACCCAGCCATTTTTACTGATTGCACACTTTGGCACACATAACCACAACGTGTCAGAGCCAAAAATGTAACATTCATGCAAAAAAATTATTTGCTGTGAGAAGATAAAACAGTTAAAACATCCAGGGACTATGTGACGGCAACCTGAGCATGGAGGGTGGAGGGGAGACTGAGATCTGCGTTCGGTTTTCCGATGTGACGAGGTCCTGTAGGGTTCGGCTCATGTCGCGGAGCTGGGCCACGGTGCAGCTCTTCAGCACGGAGCCCTCCAGCTCCTCAGCCTCCACCTGCTGCTCCTCCTGCTGGATCTGCTGCTCCAAGCATCGACTGCGGTCCTTCAGCTCCGCCAGCCTCTGCTGAAGCTCCGCAATCTCCTCCTGTGCAAGTTTAACATGGTTCATTTTCAAGTTTTACTGTTTTGGCTTTGATTCATGTCGGAGTTTCTACATGCGTGCTGAACACAAAATTATCCTTTGATGGAATTCCAATGAATGAAAAACCTCTAGCAGTAGTTCTTCAATTATTCACACCAGTGCAGTCAGCATTATATTCACATACATAACCTGAAACACGAACAAACTTCACTGATTCAAAACCTTATATAATGTGACTTATACATTATGAAGTGTAAACATTGAGATTAGGTACTTCACTTTTATTCATATCTTTTTAAAATTCTGTTCAATTTCAAATAAGCGAGGAAAGGGAATATAATAAAGATATTCAACTGGATGGTCATACAGAATCAGACAAGCCTGGGACACACACACACACACACACACACACACAAGTGACACAAAGTAGCATTTACCTCCACCAGCCGTTTCTCTTGAATGAGACGTTCCCTTCGTTGCAGTGGACCCTGCGATAAGTCAGATCGCTCCCCTGCGTCAAGCTCTGCACCCTCCCTGCCAACCAGCCATGAAAAGACACGTCAGCGGTGTTTGAACAGCTTGAATCATGACTTTTCGAAGCTGTATTTTTCATTCGCTTCCTTTACATTTTTTAAATCCTTTTGCTCACTTTGAGTGGCAGCAAAAGTGAGTTGAATAGGCAATAATGCACTATGTAGGATGTTAATACATTGTACTGTAATTTGCTTTAATCAGATTGTCACTCCCTTTTGCTGCCATTGTGTAGCTCAGTGAAACAGGGGAATATGCTGAATTAAAGAGGTGACACCTCATCTTTGGGGGAATGTTTAGGCCTGTTTTATGAAGTTATTAATACAGTTGCAGTTGAAACCAGAAGTTTACATACACAGTATAAAAAGACACTTTCTTGAGACTTTTTCTGTTTTAGGTCAATTAGGATTACCAAAATTATTTCTATTTGCTAAAGGCCAGAATAATGAGAGAGAGAGAACTTTTTAGAGAATTTTTACCTCCGTCAAGGAGGTTATGGTTTAACCGGCATTTATCTGTCTGTTTGTCTGTTTGTTTGTTTGCTAGCAAGATAACTCGAAAAGTCATCCAGAAGTCCTCACACCCCACCTCCCCTCGTCATGTCTCCTCCAGTCTCTCCTCTACACACCATCAACTAGCCCCGAATTCAAGGTCCTCAGCACCTGTGACCTGCCATACAGCTTTTGGGTTCAAGTCTGCTGTCCCCGCCCACCAGTGACATCACAGCAGGTCCACCGTAGCTTCAGCGCCCCCTGCTGGTGCGGCCATTTTCCTCCACCTTTACGTCTGTAGCCATATACGGGCAAGTAATAGTATCAGCCTAGTTTAATTCTGTTTAGCTCATCTGAATCAGGCTGTGGAGGAAAAGCCTTGATGGCTGTGTTGAAAGATAGTTAAGATCAAAAAATCATGATTCAAGGCCGTCATAGGATAATGCAATGGCTGTGCTTAAGGTAGCTTTTGGAGCTTATAAGTAAAACTCAAATTAGTCTGACACTGTAAAGTTGATCAACGGCTTGTCAGCTTCTCCTGAACAGAGGCTTAAAGCAGCAACAATCCCAGTCCTCTGGGCCAAGGCTCCAGACTGGGACCAAACTTCTGAGAGCATGCAAGTAAATTTAAAAAATAAATAAAAATAAAAATAAATAAAAAAAATAAAATGTAAGTGGTCACATTTGTGCAAGTAAATCATTCTCGTCTACATGTACATACCATCTTAGAATAGTCCTTCTCGCAGCTCATAATGTTTCTCGTGGGAAGTTCAAATTCACACACTGAGAAATTCTATTCCTTGCATGACCTTACTATATCTGTCTTCACTTAAGATAAGCAGAAGCATCCACTGACATTAGGCCTTCAATGTTGATTAATACTATAAAGGTGCTCCAATCTTCATTGCTAGCATTCATATGCTTCTGTTCCTTCTCTTCTATGATAATGGTTAACCAGTACAAGAAGACGGACACTGGGAAGGCCTTGCCCAGGCCTTGGTTTGCTCATCTTCACATTCCATGCCAACACTGGGGTCTCTCCCCTAATCTACGCATCCTATTCCTGTTGCTCATCCTCAACAGCTTATGAACATTTTCTCTGCCTAAATGCATTTATGTTGTGCCAGGCCACACATAGTTCATGTTATACATGATCTGTGATTACTACATATCATTGGGACACTATTTCATGTAAGTTCATGAAGGTTGTGTATGCCCACACAAATTTAAAGGATATGCATCATGCTTGACGCTGCACATAGTTTCATATCTCACATGCTATATTTCTTTTGTATCAAGTCACTATAATAGTGCCTTGCCAGATGTTCCTCTGTTTGCATTCAGCATGCTGCTGATTATATGCATTCAGATGAGGTCATGCTACTCGCACAAATTCAAAGGAAATGTGACATGCTTGTCCCTACACAGAGGCTAATTTTATTAAAGTCCATTTCAATTCAAGGTGACTCTGCTAAACTGCTCCTCTTGGGAGCGCAGGTTTAGGGGTTTGTGATCTCAGGGACTGTCTGTGTCGTGCTTTCTCAGGTTGTTCCAGAGCATCACTTGAACAGAGTCACCGCCAAGCACAAATGCATGTCATGCCAAAGTAATTGGCTAAATCTGACAAAGTGTCCTGTCTGAATAGTTTGAACAAATGAACGTGAAACCTTCAGGCATCTGGAAATTGTGCCCAAGGATGAACCAGACTTGTGGAGGTCCACAGTTCTCTTCCTGATATCTTGGCTAATTTCTTTAGATTATCCCATGTGGTCACAAAAGGAAGCAGTGTGTTTGAGGTGTGCCTTAAAATACATCCACAGGTGTGCCTCCAATTAACTAAAATGTTGTCAATTAACAAAAACGGTCAAAGCCATGACATCATCATCTGGGCTTTCCCAAATAGTTTTAAGGCATAGTAATCTTTTTGTATGTAAACTTCTGACTTTGAAGAAAGTAATAAAAAAAATCTTTATAAAAATTCTCTCATTATTCTGGTATTTAGCAAATAGAAATAATTTGGGTAATCCTAACTGACCTAAAACAGGAAAAGTTTAGTCAAATTTAATATCAGACAGTGAGGAGAAAAAAGGTTATGCGTCTTTTTATACAGTGTATGTAAACGTCTAGTTTCAACTGTATATATGGAAAGCACACAGCAAAACAACGTTGCATCATCAGCTTTAGGTAACATTTTTCCAGGATACCCTCTGTAGAAGCTCCCACATGATTTCCTTCATGAACTATTTTTGAGAGCTCTCCCCCATTTGGTCTGTGCTACAATATGATAAGGAGGGACCATATTATCATGATCAGGAAACAAACTTCAGTTTAATCCATAAAGCTGAGTAAAAATAAAAGGTAATTGCAAAAGTAAAAAAAGGAACAAAGTAAGGAGTGTCATCTTTAATTCAACCACATTTTACCTTCACTTCACTGTCGTTAACATCAATTTAAATACTAATTAAAGCTGCGACTCTCTGTGTGGTAACTTTTCATTTTATACAAACGCAGTAACTTCTAATTGTTGTGATTTTAATTTTCATAGTATCAGCAAACCTAGCAGAATTTTTTTTCATGATTCTCCTGTCTTCTGGGTGTGACCATTTTCCAACACGCATCATTATTTTCATAGCATGGTGTCACTGACCTGCGCTGGCTGCAGTCTGCCCTCTGGAGGGCGCTGTGCACCACCTGTCTGAGCCTCTCCAGGAACAAAGCCACGCTGGGCTGTCTGGAGGGTAAACCCAGCTTCAGAGCTCCCCGCTCTCGACACAGCTCCTCTAGCTTTTTCCCAAAACGCTCAGCTGAAAGCACACGTACAGATAGTGAATAACACACAGCGACATCTGCTAAACATTTACTAAACGAGGTCAGTTATCAGTTCCAAGTCAGTGTAGCAGCTTACAATCTCCATGCGGGCACTGCTGTGTTGTGTCTGCAGAGTAAGCTAATTATTGTGTTGATCAGTGTAGCCTACATTCACTAGAAAAACATGACTGTACATCCATCACTCCTTATTCAATTACCAGATTATCCCTTAACTCAAAGGCACCTAAGGAGAGCAGACTTCTATCATTACGGATCAATGCCAAGCTTGAGATTTTTGAGATTTCTCATTATTTAAGTCTTAAGAATCCTGCATTCCCTGGTTCTGTTAACACGTTAACACGACTATTCCAGAGACTGGAGCTGACCCAGTCTGGTTAAGTTTAAAAACCACAACCAGATCTTCCTCTGCAAGAGCATCTAACCAGCTGTCTTTTGTTGTACACATAATTTCCTGGAAAGCTGTTTCAGGCATGGAAAACTAAGTCAACATGGGTGGGAAAGAACGTCCCTGATAGAGCTTAAAATGTCAGAGAAGGGTTTGTGATGTACAGTATCAAAAGGCAAACAGAAAACCTGACCGTGACCTAAATAATCCCTCAAACAGATCTACAGGACACCGGCAGCAAATGTGTCTGATGCATTTATTTCTGTCACAAGGTCTGAGAAATAGGTAAGAAAACTTCCCTCAGGTCAGCTAGAAAGAATATTCAGGTCAGACAGGGTTCTAAATGAATGGAGATCATTTGATAATGAAAGTAGATTACATTTGCTAGGTTAGAGGACATTCTTTCCAATGAAACGTATAAGGGGAAACACAAATTAGTGCGCACAAAAGTCCCAAGTTTTCTTGTAAACAAAAGTGGAACTTGACGCTTTTTGATTCCATTTGACCTCTTCTACTTTCTGCCTACCAGTCCAGTGCTACTTTTAGTTTTAGTTTTTACTTCAGTTGACTGTGTAGATAAGTCAGTTGTTATTTATAACATAAAGTACAGATGCACAGTAGAAGATGCAAAATCAGACTCCTTCTGTTCAACCCTTCCGCTTATGACATCACTTAAAGTTTAATATAGTACAACCAATCTTAATACGATTAGTGAAAAATATTAGATTCAATATATAAATTCAAGATTGTATAATTATTCAGGGCACAAGAAGGCTTCAGTAAACGTCACTGAATTCTATGGTAGGGTTGATGTGGCCACAGTCAATAAATAACTCTTTTCTTCAGCTCTATCTAATGTGCGTCCTTCCTTTTTCACATGCTTTCTCAAACATCTCAGTATGACCGACAGCTAATTAGCAAGAACTATAATAAAAGCAACAGAGCAATGTGGTACATCTTCTTCATCTTCAACTGATATCAACTCACAAATGTCCAGATCTGAACATATCAGTGAAACCTCAATATAAATAAGTCACACGGATCCCACATAGTAAGCTGCTGTAGCTTTCTGTCCAATCAGTCAGTCCACTTTCACTTTATACTGAACTCTTTTTGCTATATTAACTGTAATATAAAACAAATGCTCTCTATTGGGAGTGAAATAACTTCTTTAAAATATTAAGTTTGTAAAAACATTTTTTTAAAGGCATAAAAACATGCCAGGAATTCAAGTCAGTTCGATGTGAGCTCACATCAAACTGTTCAGCATCTCGTACGGCAAAGCTGATATGATCTGCTTGTCAAAACAAAAGGATCAACTCAAAGTCTTAGTTCACCTGCGTCATAGTCGTCATCCAAAATGGCTTTCTGCTGAAGTCTTTGCAGCTTCAACATCATGGATTCGATCTGAGAGGAAGAAACAGCAGACAGAAGACAGAGCAGGTTACCCAACAGTCAGCACAGAGGGCAATGCTCTTTACACAGTGGACACAGTTCAAAAAAAGGGTGCATTGACCATCATTTCAGAGTGATACATGATCAGCGTGTTGTTTCATCAGTGCTTGCAGTACTTAATACTACTATTACGACTACTATATATATCATAAATTTCAAAGGGATCAATAAAGTTCTATTCTATTCATATTTATGTTCAGATATGAGTGTGGATCTCCTAATCTGACTCTCATTAACAATGCAAATAAGCGTGTCCCTGACATCCTGATGTGCTTCGGTCTCAGTCTTAACTCTGGACCTGGTCGTCAAATTGTTGTGCAACATGCAAACAGTGATTATGACTTCTCACATGATGCGTTGTTCAAGCCCACCTTGGTGTGTGCGCGGTTGTTTTGAAGGCAGTCCTGCAGCACGCCCTCGTACTTCTTCACCAGGTTGTCCCAACCCTGCTCCGAGGCAGGCGTGGCACTATCGTAGCCGGAGGTGACGGAGGAGGCGGAGGCAGTGTCAGAGTCCACTGACAGTGAGGAGGTCACCTCTATGTCGAGAGGTCGCGAGTCACAGTCAGCCAGCCAAAACCTCCCACCTAATGACAGCTCTTCTCTGTCTGCATGGCTGCCTGGAGCGGAGGAAGACAGTGTTTGGACAGGAGCTGCCTGCTTTGAGAAATTGTGCTCAGTGGATAAGGTTTCCAGTTTTGTTTGAGGCAGGTTAGGTCCTTTAGCTGATGGGCTTAGTGGTTCTCGTATTGGTGTAATGGTTGTGCCTGTCTTCTGACTGGAGCTGAGCGACTGTTGAATGAAACTGAAGCTGGAGTTGAAGGAGTCCTCTGGTGAGGACCGGAGGGCTGGGCTCGGGCTTAACCTGAGTTCATTCTGTGGCGTTGAGGACTCAACCAGACGGCTGGACGTACTGTTAACAGGACTGCAGTCAAAAGGAGGGAGGTGACGGGTAACACAGCAGAGGAAACTCTTACTCTTGCAGGAGGTACATGTGAGTTTATCAGGCTGCTGCTGACTCAATAAGGACACTTTGACAGCAGGAGTTAGCCTCTGAGCGCTGGTTGCATCAGCGATGTCAGTGTGACGTACAGATTTTCCATTCCTTATACAAGCAGTCCTCCCATCTTCCTCCTCCTCCTCCTCCTCCTGAGAAGTGCTCTGTGTTCTGGACTGCTCTCCCCTCATGTACCCTGGTCTTCGGTGGAGCCTCTTACGGCCGCAGCTGCCAGCTGTCCCTGATGCTCTGCCACCTGTCGATGCAGAGATTAACCATTAAGCTGGGTAACACGGTCATGAGGAAAGATAAAGCATGAGCTCATACAACTGGCTGGATTAGCTGGGCAGTCATGGACTACAGCAGGAAAATGTGACGCTAAATGTGCTAATTACACGAGAATGTAAAGCATTTTATTGTTAATAATCTTAATGTGACATCACAAGGCCAAAATGACTTTCATCCAATTGCACCCCTTCACCCCTTAAAACTCACATCGCTAACTGAATGAAAAACAAATTGGGCAGCTGTGTGACATTTCCCATGGTTCTGCTCCAGCTGTTGGGAAATACCAAAGCTACGCAGTCATTTTAGACACGCCTCTCAGTGGAAAAGTGGCTGCATGAATAACATTTCCAAAACTTCCATTTGAATTAGTTTTTTGAAAACGCAGCAATATTGATTAAGACAACAAACTCTCAAAGCTGCCTGGACACATAGGACAGTAGAACTGAATGAGTCTGATTCACATTGGAACAACAGCAAAACTGCTCTGATGCCAGCAAGGGTGTTTGGGTTTACGGCAGAAAGAATAATCGTGACAACAAAATGACAAGTACTATGACAAATTAACATAGAATGGAAAGATTTTTCAATGTGCATCAAGTGAAGCCATAAATCAAAATCAATATAATTAAAGCAGCACTGCTTGATTTTTTAAAAACACAACATTAACATATTACAGCATCAGCCTCTATTATGGATATTGCCAACTTGTGAGCAGAAAGTTGCCTATTTACACATCCAGCAGCTATGAAGCAACAGCATCATTCATTGAAAATCGTTGTCTAACATGACCGGCTCTTCAACTGAAATAATTCATTCGACAACAACAGATAAGTGACAAATTAAAGACAAAACTTGGATTAATGAGTAAAAAAAACACAACAAATGGAGATGCTTCCACATTTGCTAGTGCTCCAAGGCATGATTTAAAGCACTGAGCAGGCCCAGCAGATTCTGACTTTCAAGAGGAAAAGATATGTGTCTTTGGAAGAAAGTTCATAGTTGGGGTACAGATGGCAGGACCTTCAGTTACAAAGACGCCACAACTGGCTTCAATAGGAACAGTGACTATAGTGGCATCTATTTTCAGGTCTATGGGAAAGAGAGCAGTAAATAGGGTTGGAAGTTGTGGTTGACAGAACATATTTGATGTCTATGATGCTTGCACATTAGTGTAATATGTAAGAAAGACCGAAGAATAACTTTTCTCAGGTGACTGAGAATGTCAGTGCAGGACATGATCAGACTGTCACCATAAACAGTCTGTCGGATACAGATAGAAGGATATTATAGTAAGGTTGTACGTTCAATATAGAAATAAATACAGAGCTAAGAGTTCAGTGGAGCAAAACCAGAGGCAACAGAGATGCAAAAGGAGAAAAAAAAGTGATATAGTCAGATGAGTCATCCCTCACCATATTCTCAAAAAGGCTACAGGTGCATGTGTGGTGTACACTAGAAGACAATGAAGGCCTGAATGCTTTACACCACAGCGAGGGGATCAGGTGACTCTGTTAAGCTGTGGGGGGCATTTTGCTCTCTCTGTCCCATTAGCAGGAATTGTCACTGCAAATCAATACAAAGTTGTTGCGACTGATCACCTTTGTCCTATAAAACATTCCTACCCTGATGGGAGAGGTCTCTTCCTGAATGACAATGGCCCCATTTTATGCTCATGATTAGTATGAAATTGATCTGAATCATATGGCTATGGCCTTTCGTGCATTGGAGCTGTTTTAGCAACACACAGTGTCAGTACCTTACTAAAAACACTTAGTTTCTCCTTTAATTTGTCAACCTTCTGTAGTTGTTATTTTTGGGAGAACAGTTCTGAAGGTGGGCAAGTGTACAACAAGTTTGTCAGAACTTTATTGTGCAAAAAAAAACACTGCTCCTAAAAATGGAAACAAGGTTGATGAGAGTCAACCAAAATAGTAACTTTGTGGACCATTTCATCAAAACATTAGGCTGAATGATGAATTAGGTGATGATTACATATACAGATTTGTCACTTTAAGTGGCCACTTTCACATTACAAGTAATTTGACCAGTTTATGCCTGTAAAAAATCCTTTAAGTATGTCTTGCATTTAGTTCATAACATAGTAGAAGAGGATAGGGCCTTTTATGTTAAAGAAAAAAAAACATGGGCAATTTGGCAAAACTTCTTCTTCTACTCCTGTGACAACTTCTATTTTCTAAATTGTTTTTGATAAAAACATAACAGAAATAGTTTTAATAACCACTGCAGGTAGACATGAGCAATCCTACCAACAAGAAATTATGAAGATTAAGTGTCATTATGTATGTGTCCACTATACCACTATAAAGTAAACACTGTGGTGCTACAGAGATGCCTACAGATCATATTCTCCAGATATGAGGGAATATGCTTGTTTGGTACAGCAAGAAACATATCATAATTTTTAGACTTTTTCAAGTGGAAAAGAAATACAATTCCCACTGAAATCGTGACACATATCACACAATCAATGCAATATGTGTCCATTTTTTGCATAGCTTTCAGCCCTAGTGGTCTAAAAGTGCAGCAGGATGATAAAGGCCAGCTTGTGTTGGGGGTGAGACACCTGCTGCAGCGCCACCATTAATACATGTAATGTGTAGGATTCAGAGGAGGAGGCAGGCTGAAATGTGGGGAATCAACAGCCCCTTTGTGTACAGCTGCGCTGCTCCCTCTTTCTCTTCTGGCTCTCGGTTTTCTCTTCCCACTCATGCACACACTAAAGACACACAGAGACACACTGACACTTTTGTGCTGAAAACAGTGGAGTCAGTCGCACTGTTGTCATTGTAAAACCCTGATAGACGCTTTAACAACACAACCAAAGTTTTATTTATGAAAATCCAAACGAGATAGCACACTAAACTATTACTTGTTTTGTAATGGAGCACAGTATCTGTGTTTGCAGCTGTATGTCAAGACAAGAATGCAGAGCATCAAACAGATCATGACCGCTAACCAACCACAGCCTCTGCCTCAACACCCTGTGACCTTCAGTGATGTCACTCCTCAACTATCCCATGTGACCGGAGAGGAAGAGACACAAGAAGACACCACTTAAGGGAGAGTTGGAACTGACAGGAGCCCATGATTTGTAGTGAGAGTAACACTGGGGTGTTTCCATTGTAGCCAGTCTGCATGTGTGTGTAGAGAAGAAGACCCTGTTCAATAGGACTCTCGGTCCACTGGGACCACCACACTGCAGCTCAGGTTACATACAGCTCCATTAGTGTGTCTTTGCAGACGTGGCCACTGTTCCATAACCAATTTAAGAAACCCAACACTCTCCGTAGGTAGCAAATACAACCGCAGACCATCCGCCATCTGGTGTGGTCAAGATATTATATAGAGGCTTCTCTTAGGACTCAAAGAGGCGAGCAGTTAAAAGGAGACAGACTTGTTGATGGAGTTAGTGTATCCTTCAGCATACTTCGATTACACAAAGGCGGCTTTTCTCAGTAAAGGGGAAGGAAATGCCTCAGGGCCCATTGTGGGTGTGTGTGTGCTGGTGAGCGAATGTGTGTGTCGGGGGGCATCCACATCTCCACCGAAGCCTTTCAGAGGTATGTCATTTGCTGCTTCCGGTCAGCCTTTGTGCGAAAATAGTTTGCCAGGAATTCCGGCAGAAAATAAGGAAAAAGAGACCTGAAGTGGTTCAACACCCACGATGAACCAAATCCCACTGCAACAATAGAAGCGTTCTCACTGCAACTTGCTGCCAATGTCGTAGAAACTCAGCAGAAAGTGTGAGAAAATGAAGCATCTCAGTCAAAAGAGGCAAGATTATTTACCTTTGGAGATTAGAGAGGCCCTTAGGTTAAACACCGCAACCCATTGGCCGCTTAAGGAATGCAGAGGATCTCGTAAAAACACAAACGTTTGAGGAACAAGCTCGTCACCCGTCGGACGCACACACACACACCAGCAGATCCGCATGTCAGCAACCTCCTGAGAAGCAGCGATGCTCGGCAGATGTGCAACACTCGGCCACATGTGACCGACCACAGCAACAGAAACAGGGAAGCGAAAGTCAGCCGTGATATCCATCTATCTGGAAACAGGCTTACATGAGCTGAAAGGAAACGTAACCACACCGTATGACGTTCCAGGTCTCTGCTCTGCTTATGTGAGAGTTTAATAAGAAAACAGTTCGGTCACATGAGGATCATAAACCTGCTAATTATGGTGGTTAGTGCTGTGGAGGTGTATTTACATGCTGCATATGCTCTTTAATAGACACTTTAACTTATTTTTTTTGTTGCCATTAAGTTCTAACTGTGTTCAGTGGTGAAACACTGACTCAAGGACTATACATCAGTGCAGTTTTGAGTTATAAGTACTTAGGTAGTTTTATTTTCTGCTACTTAATTCTTCTGATTCACTACAGTTTTGATGCAAATATTGTACTTTTAATTCTGCTATTCGCTAACGTAGCTTACTTTGCAGACTTAGTTTAATGATTCAAAATAGAATCAAGCAAATTATTTTATAGGTAAAAATGAAAGTTTAACAATCCTAACGGGAAAATTCACAAGCTACTTCACAGAAAAACTATATAAAGTAGTGAAATGACCTTTACCAGCTCCATCATTAAAGTGGTGAACACATTAATGCATTAATAACTAGAATCCAATAGTATATCTCAAACATGACATTCTGCACAATAAGTACTTTTGGTACTTTAAGTATGCTTTGATGCAAATATGTCTGAGCATTTAAGTGCATGACTTGTACTTGCAAAACTATGCACTTTTACCTAAACACAAAATCTCTGATAGCGTTTGACAGATGCACACAAAATACTGTCATTTCCACCACAACCGTATAAAAATGCTGTTCTTGGGCTTTTGACCATTGTCTTTACTGATTAATTAAGATTATTGACATGTCACATACACCAGAAGATAAGCAAAAATGTTCAACCGAAATACAAACTGGGCCACAGAAAAATATGCAGAAGTGGTTTCTGTAGCACTTTTACAAAGCTTTGTCAGGTCAAGTGTCCTTATGGCTGCTACAGTTTTAAAGGTCTATTAAGCAGCAGCATCTTTTTTTTCAGCCATAATATACTGCTCAAAAAAATGAAGGGAACACTTAACCATCACAGTACAACACCGCCTCAGTGGGTTAATCATTTTGTTTTCCACTGTCCAATCACTGATATACACTGTGCAATTTATTGAGAACAAAATTATATAAGAATGAAGTGTTCCAGTGTTCCCGTACATTTTTTTGAGCGGTGTATAAAGCAATGATACTTACATGAGCCACATCTCGTGACTTTTGGAAGAGTTCAAACTAAAAAGGCAGCGACCCAGTTACAATATGTGTCTCATAGAGGATATGTCTGCTTATGGTCACTCTGTCTGGACATAACAAGCAAGTTAGTTGTGCAAGCTAGATGAGACGTAGGAACTTGTACATTCATGTCCCCTTTGTCCACACATTCTGAGGAAAGTATTTTGCAAGCATTTAGGCGTTTGCAACTCATCATTATTTACAACAGGGGCTCACCGGTGAGGTGCCTTTGACCTCAGTGACCTGGTTCACTGTGAACTTTCATAAACACTTTCCAGATACTACAGCTGACACAGTAAACCAGCAGAAGGACTCCTCTTCTAACTTCAGTGTAGGCTCATCTTTTGTGGGGGCAGGACCAGAACTGCACAAGTTTGGAAAAGTCATTTTATACCCACTGTGTTCCCACTGAAAACTTCCATGTGATAATGTTTAGCCTCATTATCCACCTCTCAACATCAGGGACTTATTACCCCATCCTGTCTCTTAAAAGTAATCTTCTTTGAGCTTCTTTTACTGTATCAAAGTGATGTGAAGCAGCTGTTTTTTGTCACAGAGATCCTGCTTTGGCTGATGTGAAGACAGCAGCTGACAGTGAAAAATGTTGTTCTTTACCTTCCATGGCTTCGCAGTGCTGAAGCAGAGAGCTGCTGCGACACTCCAGCCCCATCAGCCCGGCAAACATCGTGCCTTTGACGGAAAAAAAAAAGAAAAGAAAGGTGTTTACATCCACAAGAGAAACGATGTCAGATCCCGGCTCTGCGTGGAGTTACATCGACCATGTTTGAGAAGAAGTGGAGCCAGCCAGGCACTGGGACTGATCTCATTTCCGTTGTGGAAAAGTGAAGCCAGACTGTTATTTTTTCCGCCACTTTGGAGCAACGCGTAAAAGCGGCTCTTCGGCGGATAATAAACATCTCCTGACAGAGGTATTGATTGGAGATCAGTTTCTTACATTTCTCATCAAGTTGGGTTCAGTTACGCACGAACGTCTGGAGAGAAATAATGGTCTTCAGGTCATGTTTCTTGTTTGGAGGAAGAAGAAAAAAAAAAGGGAAAACATCCGATGGTCGTGTTTAACAGCAGGAGTAACAGTCCAAATGAATCTAGTGTGCGTTAGTCGCTCATCGACCGGTTGATCAGTAATCCGTTAGCCGCTGCGCCCTGCGTCCTGTGTCGTGTTGGAACAACGTGAGGAGCTCCTACGTGTTCAGGAATTTGACTCCAGACTCCTTCAGACCGCCTCATACCCTCAGCAGGCTGCAGCGGATTAAACACCGCTGCTGTTTGTGTTTCAGCAGCTTTATCTTTGGACCACTGCAGATGATGGAGGAACAGCTCACATAAACAACAACAGGTTAAAACATCCAGACTCAGGATGTAGTGATGGTTATTTAACACCGCGTGATAGAAGACTGTTCAAGTATGCAGATAATAGTTTTGCATATGAGAAAGCCATAACACATCTTGATATGTGTACCAAACTATTGCTTTGTTTGTGCACTGGAGGAATCCACGAGCAGAACAAAACTCCAGACCCCACATAGAGCAGAGTCTTTTCATCCTTCCACACATCCAAATGGCCCTTTTATTCCGCCTGACTGGCTGATGGACAAGACCCAGCGAGAAAGCTTCAGTTCAGCAGGCAGCAGAATGCAGCTCTAACTTATTATAGAGGATAAAAAGAAGGGATGAAGTATATTACCTTGTATCTAGAATGAGATCACCTGCCAACTCTTAAAAAATACAGTTTTGGCAAAGAGATCAGCAAACCGAGAGTTTGGTTTCCAAGAGAAGGCTTTTTGCCCATCTATCAAAGTAGAATACAGGTCATGACTCAAGTTACAAATATTAATCAGGTACTCTGATTTAACATTTGCAACCTTGTCTTTAAGGTCCTACATGTGTGTTTTTAATCCGACACTGCACCAAAAAAATGCACCAAAATCATTGTTGTTGGTAATCATATGGATGAGACCATGATAATCAAAGTAGCAATGCTATTTTTTTACATTTGAT